GAAGCCAGTCGAATCTGACTCTAGGAGAACATAAGAACATAAGAGATGCTAATGTTGGATCAGGCCAATGGCCCATCCAGTCCAACACTCTGTGTCACACAGTGGCCAAAAATACCAGGTGCCATCAGCAGGTCCAGCAGTGGGGCCAGGACACTAGAAGCCCTCCCACTGTTGCTCCCCCCCCCCCCCAAGCACCAAGAACACAGGGCATCACTTGCCCCAGAGCCCTTATCTATACCTTGTGGCTAATAGCCACAGATGGACCTCTGCTCCATATGCTTATCTAATTCCCTTTTGAAGCCGTCCATGCTTGTAGCCGCCACGACTTCCTGTGGCAGTGAATTCCATGTGTTACTCACTCTTTGGGTGAAGAAGGACTTCGTTTTATCTGTTCTAATCCAACCGCTCAGCAATTTCATTGAGTGCCCACAAGGAGTTCTTGCATTGTGAGAAAGGGGGGAAAGTACCTCTTTCTCTACGTGCTCTATGCCGTGCATAATCTTATAAACCTCAATCATGTCACCCCTCAGTCGTCGTTTCTCCAAGCTAAAGAGCCCCAAGCGCTTTAACCTTTCCTCATAGGGAAAGTGTTCCAAACCTTTTATCATTCGAGTTGCCCTTTTCTGCACTTTTTCCGAAGCTATAATATCCTTTTTAAGGTGTGGTGACCAGAACTGCACACAGTATTCCAAATGAGGTCGCACCATTGATTTATACAGGGGCATTATGATACTGGCTGATCTGTTTTCAATACCCTTCCTAATAATCCCCAGCATAACATTGGCCAGGAGGTGGTGCCCTGAGCCCATCTGAGAGAGCAGCGCTGAGAGAACTTGTGACTGCCCAAGGTCACGCCAGCAGCTGCATGTGGAGGAGTGGAGAATCAAACTCGGTTCTCCCAGATTAGAGTCCGCGGTCCTAACCACTGCCCCAAACTGGCCGAGTTGGTTTGCTGTTGCCTGCCTCTGCGTAGCAACCATGGACTTCACTGGGGTTTTAGTGCTGGCTGGCAACATCTCCCTTCTCCATCTTGTCCTCACAACAACCCTGTGATGTAGGCGAGGTCGAGACTTTCATGACATTATTTATTTGTCTGCCATCAGGGTGCAGCCGCAGGGTTTCCAAGGGAAGAGAAAGAGGAGATCTGGTTTGCCGTTGCCTGCCTCTGCGTAGCGACCCTGGACTTCCTTAGTGATCTCCCATCCAAGGACTAACCAGGGCCGATCCTGCTTAGCTTCTGTGATCTGACCAGATTGGGCTCGCCTGGGACATCCAGGTTGGAGCATGTAGAATCTTAGAATCACGCATAGTTGGAAGGGGTCCCTAGAGGCCATCTACTCCAACCCCCTGCTCAGTGCAGGATCAGCCTAGAGCATCCCTGACCAGTGTTTGTCCAGCCGCTGCTTCAAGACTGCCAGGGAGGGGGGAGGTCACCACCTCCCCAGGCAGCCGATTCCACTGCTGCACAACTCTTACTGTAAAAAAGTTTTTTCCTAAGATCCAGCTGGTACTGGACCTAGGCGTTTGCATGTTCAAAATAAGCAGTAAACCAAGGACAGAAGAGAGTCCAGCAGGATCAGAGTGAACCTCCCATCTAGTCCAGCGTCCTGTTTCCAAAAGCGGTCAGCCAGGTGTTTTCTTTCATGTCGGACATGAGAACAATGGTCTCCCTGTGTTGTTTTCATCGAGCAACTGCTATTTTTTAGAGGTACACTGCCTTGGAACATGGAGGTTCCATTCTGGGCTATCAAGCTGCTGTTTGGGCCCATCAAGAAGATCCCTGCTGGATCAGACCGAAAGCTGTCGGTAGTCCCGCATCCTCTTCCCCAGCGGCAGGCCCCTAAGAATCCCACAAGCCATCCAGGAAGGTAACAGCCCTGCCTTGCTGTTTGACTTCAGCATCTGCCATCAAGAATACTGCCTCTGGCCATGGAGGTTCAGTTCAGCTATCATAGCTAAAAGAGGAACCAATGTCAATGTCTCTCTCCCTGCTGCTCGCCACTCCCCGGAACTGAGCTCACAGAACTGATAGGCAAGAATCAGAATAATCTCCTATTGGTTGTCTCCAGCCCGTCTTGTAATCTCCTCCAGCTGTTGCTGTATCCTTCTTGGAATCTTCACAAACATTATACCTGCTCAGCCAAGAGGCGACAGCAACAGAAAGTTGGCAAGCTGTGCCATATCTGTGAGATGTGGGGGGCCATACTTTGGAATGATGACTTTTGTTTCTGCTGAGACTTCACTGGTTTTATTATCTGTCTGATGTGCTATATGACCTTGGGGTGTCTGGTGTAGTATTTCTCCTGGGAACGGTTGCCCATTACTTTGGCGGGCCCCTGTAGGCTACCTAATTGGCCGTGGGCTATCAGGGGACCCCTTTGAGTTATGTATATCTATTTGCTTTGTGCACTTTCTCTTTAGTTCTAACGCAGACTGGTTATGGTATCTGCATGCTCTCGGTGTCTCAATAAAACTTTACTTCTTTTTTCTTTTTTTTTAAATCATTTATTTTCATTTTCCATAAAAAAAAAACATACAATACATATATCATCAAAACCCTCTTGGAGTCTTATCCACTTTGTTCTATCCATTCATATACACGCTTCCACCTTTCCCCAAACATTTTTTCATCCTTTCCTTGAAGGATTAAACTTAACTTGTCCATCTCTGCCATCTCTAATAGTCGACACACTAAATCCTCTTTCTTCGAGATGTAGTCCTGTTTCCAAAATTTAGCTAGTAAAATTCTAGCAGTTGTAAGTATTATAATTATCATATATTTGTCTTTCCATCTGTAGCTTTCCGGTAGCATATTTAACAACACTGTTTCCGGAGATAGCTCGATTTTAATATGCGTTATTTTCAGAATTATTTTCTGTATCATTTTCCAGAAATCCTGCACTTTTGGGCACCTCCACCACATATGAACGAAGGTACCCACATTATTATTACACTTCCAGCAGTTCTTAGGGAATGCTGGATTACACTTGGCTATCTTGTCCGGTGACCAGTACCATCTATGGTAGATCTTATATATATTTTCCTTAAAATTGGTGCTTCTCATAAACTTTATCGACTTCCATGTTTTCATCCAGTCTTCTATTCTACGCCCTATGTCTCTACACCATGCTTTCATTGTGTTGGTTACCCCATCTTGTAGACGTTCCTCTAATAATAATTTATACAATTTCTGTATCATTTTGTCGCTGCTTGATGCCCAAATTTTATCTAATTGTAGTTTACCGTCCTCAAACCCTACTTTCAGATCTTTAGCGTGTCTGGACTGTAATTTACTTCTTTTGAATGAAAGTTGTCGGGAACCGATCGCTGCAGGAGTCTGACAGTTGAGGACTTCGTTTTGGGTGTCAGCAGTCTTGCGGGATTCTTAATTAGCGAGGTTATGTGCCGTTTGTAGCAGGAAGGGCGGAGGAGAGAGGAACAGAGGTGGGTATAACTGAGTAGGAGGTAAAGGGAACCATTTGGAGGTTGTGGATTTAAGTCATGGATTTGAGGAAATAATAGGTCAGGGAGGCAGAGGAAAAGGGAAACTCCAGGAAACTTCACATGTCCCGAGCTGTGCAGGACTTTGGTGACGTCTGTTGTGAAAGTCACCATTTTGAAGGGTTCAGAAGGTTCAGGAGAGGCGGGAAAAGATCTCTCGCCTTTTCCACTCCTTTTTACATAATATGCCCGCTTGCATCAACGCTGCAGAACTGAGCATTTGTTTTGCAGTAGCCAAACAGAAATCATGCAGCGGACATAATGACATCGTAGACCGACGTGGCCAATCGGGTCTGGGCGAAGCCGCGTCACCCACGCGTTTTCTTTTTTCAGCTTTGTTGTTGAAGCACTGATGCGTGCGGCCACCTGGATTTTTAATATCAGTGCATTGTTGAGCATCAACACTTGGATTTTAAACAATTCGGGGGGGGGGCGTTTTTGTTCTTTTTCAAGCGCCCCTTGAAAACCACTGTTTTCCTGTTGTGCTTTGCATCTCTTTGTTCGCTGCCTCAAGAATAGAACTGGCTGAACAGTGTTGAGTGGCAAAAACTTTTTCTCAAGGCTGCCAAGACAGGAGCGCTCCATCTATGAATGTCAGCTACTTAATGTGCCTTTTGTAGGACCAGCAACAAACATCAATTTAAACTTCAATGTAACCACAAAAGGAAACTTCCCCCTTTAGGAGACTTTCAAGCAAGGAAAAGTGGGTGTACAATTCTAGAAACTCCCATTGGGGTTGATTCTGTTAAAAGGATGTAAATTGACTGGTAGCTATTAGATTGTACAAACTGATTATTATTGTTGATATTGCATGTAATGAATATATACCTGCTTTAGAATATTATGAATAATACACAATGCACTTTATAAGATTGAATATATAGGACACTTTAACTTACAAAAAAGGTTTTTGCAGTGTATATATTTGTTGTTTGATCCACCTGGATATTGGCAAGCCTAGGTTGACCCTAAGCGTACCCCTGATCTGTGGGGCTTTGGGGTGGTCCAAAGCTCTCTTTGGGGTGCAGAGCAGTTCTAAGCTAAATTTCAGTTAAATTTTAATTTAATTTAAATATTTTTTTAAATTTGTAACTGATTGCATTGTAAATGAAACAATGCTGTTACCTGCCCTGAACACGTGTGCAGGAACGGTGGGATACGAATGCGATTAGACAGACAGAGTATCATCAATACTTCTGGCTGGATTTAAGAGAAGAAGGGTCTGAGAACCAACTTCAGTCTCTGTCTCCCAAGAAAGGGGGGAAAGACACTTGTCTTCTGGACAGGCAGCACGGGCTGATAACGTAATGGCTGCAATTCCGTGGGCTCGGGTTCCGCTACGTTCCTTCAAAAAGATACTTCCTAACTGACCAAAACTTGGGCCACAGGCCTGGCGGGGAGGTTGCAATAATTGTATCCACAATGCCTTTTAGGTCGTTGGATAGTTTTTCTGGAAGCCTGAAATTTTCAATATCTTCTTCTTCCTCTTCTTCTTCCAGATACCATGATGGGCTCGGAGGTCCTACTTGCGAAAGGTTACCTGGACTTGCTTCAAAGTGACTTAGACCCGCAGCTGCTGTACAAGAACATCGAAGATGACCTTTCCACAGGTGGCCACGGGCTTGGGTTTTAATTCTCTGAAGTTTAATTCCCAGAGGGACCAGGTGGGAGGTGATGGGAAAGACCTCCGCCTGAGACCCTGGAGAGCTGTCAAGAGGGGCCGTGGCTCAGTGGAAGAGCCTCTGCTTGGCATGCAGGAGGTCCCAGGTTCAGTCCCCAGCGGCATCTCCAGTTAAAAAGGACCAGGCAGGAGGGGATGGGAAAGTCCTTTCTCCGCCTGAGACCCTGGAGAGCCACTGCCAGCCTGAGTAGACAAGACTGACGTTGACAGACGAAGGGTCTCTTTCAGGAAGGATAAGGCAGTTTCACGTGTTCATGTGTTCAAACACCCACCGGGTGTACCTTCCCTCTAGAGGAACTGGTTGGCCGCTGTGTGAGACGGGAGGCGGGACTAGATGGACCCTCACTGGCCTGATCCAGCAGGGCTCTTCTGAGGTTCCCTTCCGAGCACATGAAAACGATCACCCCAACAATGCTGTGCTAGGAAAGATCTCCCCCCCCCCCCTCGGTTTCTAGTGGAAAAAACGGGCTGCTTGTGAGTTGTGCAGTGATGGGGAGGGAGTGTGGCTGTTGTGTGCGAGACACAAACAAGCAAAAAAAAACCCCCACACAACTAGAGTTTCCGGAATGGAGGGAAAAGCCTCCTCTCGTTCAGGCCCACGTGCATCCTGACGCGCTGCTCCACTTTTATGCTCATGTGCAGATTTTAGAGCTTATTATATTTTAGATCTAATTCAGGTTCCAGTGCTGTAAGTTGTCTAATTTTTATATTGTTTAAATTTAAATTTTAAATTGTAATGGCCATTGGCTACACAATAAATTTTACTACTACAACTCCTACTACTACAACAACAACTACTACTACCGTACTACTACTACTACTACTACTACTACTACTTTTATGTTCATCCCTGCTCCAGCCAAAATGTCTCTCTCCCCCACCTACCACCCTTTCGTTGGGTCTGGTGAAACACGTTCACTTTCCCACGCCCCAGCGGCTCCTACGGCTGCTACGGCATCTCCCCACCCCAGCCGCTTCCTCTGCTAACCTGCAGCCCCACAGGACAGGCCGTGTGCCCGCAGAGGGGTGCTGTTCGGGGTGGGGTGGGGGGATGCTGGGAAAAGCAGAAGCTTCTGGAAGGGAAGAAGCTGCCCCCCACCCCACACACACACACAAGCACGACATGGCGGAGCCGTGGGTGTTTGCAGTGTGGTCGAGGTCCGGGGAGGAAGTGGATGGAGAAGAGAAACTCAGGGCTGGTTGTCCTCCAGGGTGTAGCTTTTCTCTCTGGGGGTGTGCATCATGCATCCACAGTGGGCACTTCCCCCCTCCCAAAGCTTGACTGGGGGGGGGGGACCAGCCTCGGATAGCCGTCTCCCACCGCATTTTCACCACTCTCAAGAGCAGCTTTGGTTGTTTTTTACAAATCCGCATCACACCTTTCTGCCCTCACAAGGGGCGCTGAGGCGGTGAACGGGTAAAAACATACCTGACCCCAAAAATAAAATTTTTAAAAATCACATTTTAAAAACTGAAAAGTACGCAGACGGGAGAGTGATTTCAGCAAAGCGTACTTTATTCGATCAGGAACAAGACGACTTTGGCCGGCTCGCAGGCCGGCTTATATCCCCCGAGAAACCGCCACCCAAAACACACCCCCACTTCCCAATAGGTTATTTATAGAGGCCGAGAGTCCCATAGGCTCTCGCCCGGGAACCTAGCCTCCTGATTGGAGCAGGCTAGGATCCGCATAGTCCATTGTCTCTTGGAGCGAAGCTCAACGTTTGTGTCTGACCGCGTGGAGCCCGAGCAGGCCACGCAGTCTGGACTGGATACATTACAAAAACCATTTAAAAAATCGAAAGCTCCTCCTGAACACACGTCATCCAAGCAGTTAAGAGCAGAGTTAAAAAAAAACATAAAAAACAGAGTGAAAATAAATACAAAATGGAGTTAACATGCATACAAAAAGATAAAAAACATTGGCTAGGAAGTCTTCTCTTCAGTTTGGTGTGGTGTTTAAGTGCGCAGACTCTAATCTGGGAGAACCGGGTTTGATTCCCCGCTCCTCCACATGCAGTTGCTGGATGACCTTGGGCAAGCCGTAGTTCTGACGAGCTGTTCTCAAAAAAGAGCACTTCCTGTCAGAGTTCTCTCAGCCCCGCCTACCTCACAGGGTGTCTGTTGTGGGGAGTGGAAGGGGAAGGGGTTTGTAAGCCGCTCTGAGACACCTTTGGGTAGTGAAGGGTGGGATATAAATTCAATCTCTTCTTCTTCTTCTTCTTTGAGGGCAGTTCTCTCAGAGCTCTCTCAGCCCCACCTACCTCACAGGGTGTCTGTTGTGGGGAGAGGAAGGGAAAGGAGTTTGTAAGATGCTCTGAGACACCTTTGGGTAGTGAAGGGCAGGGTATAAATCCAGTCTCCTTCTCCTCCTCCTCCTTCTGACGCTCCAGCCCCACCCCATAGGAGCACCCATCTTTCCACAACAAACCGGGAAATCTCTTCCCTTTAAAAAGCATCTTTGCTCCCTGCAACTTGCAAGGTTGCTAACTCCATGTTGGGAAACTCCTGGAGATTTGGAGGCGGAGCCTGGGGAAGGCAGGATTTGGGTTAGGGCATCATGCCAGAGAGTCCACCCTCCAAAGCAGCCATTCTCTCGGGGGGGGGGGGGACCGATCTATGTGCTTTGGAGATCAGCTATAATTCTGGAAGATCTCCAGGCCGCAGCTGGAGGTTGGCAACCTGCCAGCAAGTGGGCTAGCTGCTGCCTGGAGCGCCCCCAAGGGTGAAAACCAAACGGAGGCCTGCAGCGCCTTGAGATGAACTACGTAATATGTCGTCATGTAAGCAGCTGCGGCCTACAAGAGTCCGCATCGCTCGATGCACGAAGTGAAATCTCACCCCACGGATACAGATCAGGACGGGTGGGCCGTTCGAGGCTGTCTGTCGCAGCAGAAAAGAGCCGGCGTCTAGGAGCACCATAAAGACATCGGGAGAAGTGAGCCGTGACTCATGAAAGCTCCTCCCCTGCCACAGATTTTGTTAGACTTTGAGGTGCTGCTGGACTCTGTCTCCTTTCTCCTGCCATGGATATATAGGCAGAGAGAGAAGGGAAGAACTAGGAACAGTGGGGTTAAAAGACGGTACAAGAAAAGGCTGTTTCCACACAGAGAATTTGCTCCCAAACTGCAGCGGGAGGGGTTTTTTTTCAGTGCATCCCCACCATGTCATCTTCCTCCTATTTCCCTTCCGTCGCTTTCTGTGCCTTGCTCCTGTGTGTCTAGAATCTGCCTTTCAGAAATCTTGGAGTCAAATCGGAGCTTCCTGCAGTGTGGACAGGAAGGTGTGACAAAGGGCGGTCTATTTCCCTCCCCCCCCCCAAAAAAAATGAATAGACCAGAAAGGCCTCCTAATAACAAATGAATGCATGTAGTTCAATTCCATTTGTTTCCCTGGCGATCTGATGAAGGGAGCTCAAGGAAGCCGGTGGAAGGGGAAACGGATGGAACTGACGGGTACGTTTTCCAACCAGCGCCTCAGACGGATCTTGCAACCGAAGAGATTGAAAGGAGGGAAGGGGGGAGGATGGCGAGAGTCAGGAGAGAGGAAACCGATGTGGATGGGTTCCAGGGGAACCAACAGGAATGAAAATTAACGTAGGCTGCGGTCACACGGAACATTAGCCACGCTAGAGAGACGGAAGATAGGCGGATTTTCCGAGCGCGATCTCACCGCCACATCTGGGAAGCGTAGAGCGCCCGTGGCTCACCCGAGGCTTCCTGCCGAAGATGTGGGGTAAAAAACTAGTACCTCCACGGGGCAAGGCCGGGCGTCTGATCGCGTTTTTGGTGGCATCCGGCGCCCGCCCATGTCCCCTTGCAAAAAGGGGTTTTTTTCCCAAGTCTCCATGGATGCGCACAAGCACCCAACAGAGCATGCGCATACTTTGGTGTACAGAAAAAAAAAAAACCCGTTTGCCGCACCATGCTGCTTCTTTGCCGCGCCGCAGGATTGTCCTGTGATTGGCACCTCCCCCCTACCCACGGGACCTCCATGGAACCTCCACGGGACGTCTGATCACGCAACCGCACGTTATTTTGCCCCGGTGCAAACAGCCACGCCTCCCCCCCCCCCCCGCGATATCCGGCCCGTGTGACCGGGCCCGTAATAACAAAAGCCAACTGGAGCGATAACAAAATGTAACCAAAATAAACGAAGCTTTCACAATGAAAACAAGCAAGGAAGTGGCACTTCCCCAAACAGATGGGAAGGTTCTCTACCCAGCCTGACAAAGCTTTCCCCATCCCCCATAGAGCCCTGTGGGATTGGGGCATGGGCCAGCTGTTTGCAAGGGGAGAAAAGACCGGCGGAGGGGGGGGGGATATTTTCCAGTGAATTTTTGCTCCTCCATTTTTGCTTCTAACTGACCCCCACTGTGTTCAGTTCCTTTGTTGACATCCAGTGACTGAACGTTTCTTTTTTTTACTCGAGGCCACGCTCCTGATGTGGGTCTCGAGGACCAGGACAACAACTTGGATCTCTTTTACACGGTGGAAAATGATGGGACTGGGGAAGAGGTCTGCCTGTGTTCCAATCCGGGAGAAGCCTATGAGAAAATCGGTACGGAGGGGAATTCCCGGGTTCCCGGCGTGGGAAAGAGCTCATTTGGGGTCGGCTTTATTTTGTTGGAAATATGTGTCTTGCGAGGTCTAAAATCCAGTCATGATAGGGTTAATGTGTGCCTACCCGGTGTGCTGTTGTTAAGACTGACCTGGAAGGGAAACCTGGCCCATGATAGTGAAGCCTATTTATTAACAATAATTGATTAATGCATTCAGGTGATTTCCTTCTAGGGGTCAAGAAGAAGAAGAAGAATCTCTATTGTTGTAGACCCCTGTGGCCAAAGTGTAAAGATGTAGTTCTTAGGTGTCTTTGTTGTTTTGTAGATTTCCTGTGAACCCTTCCCTTTAGAAATAAAGATTTTGACATAGAAAGAAAATGCCTCCTCTTCAGTGAATCAAAGATCCATGGCAATCTCTGAATATTTAACTATTTTGCCAATTTTCCCAGCATATTTTACTGCAAATGCCTCTGGTCTTATTTGTCTGTTTAATGGCTGATTGAAGACGCCATCTAGCAAGGCAAACCTGTTGTGTTTTCCTAGGTTAGGGGTAGCCTGTAGTGAGGGTTGCCACCTCTGGGTTGGGAAATCCCTGGAGATTTGAGGGGTGGAGCCTGGGGAGGGCGGGGTTTGCGGAGGGGAGGGGCCTCAGCAGGGTGTAATGCCGTAGAGCCCACCCTCCAAAGCAGCCATTTTCTCCAGAGGAAACTGATCTTGGTCATCTGGAGATCTCTGGAGGTTGGTAACCCTGCTGGTAGTATCCGTTTTTTAAAAAGCAATAAATATTAAAATAAAACTGATCCCAGCCTAAAAGGATATGAAAAACAGAAAACAGCAAAAGCGATAAAGCCAAAACTGAAGGAAAGATAACGAGATAGAACTGGTAGTCGAGAGAATCGCCCTCGAATCAGTAGCATACACGTCTTTTGAAAAACAACAGCGAGTCAAAAAAATGCTAATTTACTGCTCGCCCTCTACCTATATGTATGGATTACAACTTCCATTTCAATGTATCTGTGCTTGCACACGAAAGCTTATACCTTGAATAAAACTCTGTTGGTCTCCAGTTTAAAATTCTCCAGTTTAAAAGGACCAGGCAGGAGGTGATGGAAAAGACCTCCGCCTGAGACCCTGGAGAGCTGTAAAGAGGGGTCACATCTCAGTGGTAGAGCATCTTGCTTGGCATGCATAAGGTCCCAGGTTCAATCCCTGGTAGCATCTCCAGTTAAAAAGGACCAGGCAGGAGGTGATGGAAAAGACCTCCGCCTGAGACCCTGGAGAACTGTAAAGAGGGGTCACATCTCAGTGGTAGAGCATCTTGCTTGGCATGCATAAGGTCCCAGGTTCAATCCCTGGTAGCATCTCCAGTTAAAAAGGACCAGGCAGGAGGTGATGGAAAAGACCTCCGCCTGAGACCCTGGAGAACTGTAAAGAGGGGTCACATCTCAGTGGTAGAGCATCTTGCTTGGCATGCATAAGGTCCCAGGTTCAATCCCTGGTAGCATCTCCAGTTAAAAAGGACCAGGCAGGAGGTGATGGAAAAGACCTCCGCCTGAGACCCTGGAGAACTGTAAAGAGGGGTCACATCTCAGTGGTAGAGCATCTTGCTTGGCATGCATAAGGTCCCAGGTTCAATCCCTGGTAGCATCTCCAGTTAAAAAGGACCAGGCAGGAGGTGATGGAAAAGACCTCCGCCTGAGACCCTGGAGAACTGTAAAGAGGGGTCACATCTCAGTGGTAGAGCATCTTGCTTGGCATGCATAAGGTCCCAGGTTCAATCCCTGGTAGCATCTCCAGTTAAAAAGGACCAGGTAGGAGGTGATGGGAAAGACCTCCCTCTGAGACCCTGGAGAGAGCTGCTGCCAGTCTGAGTTGACAGTACTTATTTCGATGGACTGAGGGTCTGATGCAGTGGAAGGCCGCTTGAGATGTACGACTTCACTGAACAAAGCTGATTTGTATTGTTTGTTTATTAATTAAAATATGTGTCCCCCCACATCTGCTTTGGCTCTAGGTTGGAATGTTCTTCTAATCTACGGCGCTTTCCTCCGACTGGCGTGGCTCTTCCATTGGCTGGGAGAACTACTAGATTTGGCGGAAAGCTCCTTAGGCTGGGGGGGGGAGGCCTCTTTGGGGCTGGTTGGATCCACACCAGGGTCAGAGACAGATCCTAACTGGAGGGCAGGTTCATGATCACCCTAGATATGGCCATTCTCAGAGCAGACGGGGGGATACCTGAGAGGGATAAAACCTCCTTAAGAGTTAGACGTTTGGGTGCCTGTTCTTCGAGAACCTGGATTTCTGGTGCCACGGGAGTTGGCCTTCATTGTGCCCAGGGGTCATTTCGTAGAAAAAGAGGTGCAGGACCTCATTAGCATAACTCCTTAGCATATGCCACACACCCCGGCATCACCGGAAGGCAACACCCACCGCTCAGGCTCCACTGGACTGTTTTGGATTGCTAGCTATTGGGGGGTGTTGGGGGGGGGGGGGACATACAGATCTGTCCTCACAGAGGAGGGAGAGCTTGTACCTGAAGGCAGGCCTGGGAGGGGGCTCTGCAACTTACCTGGCTGCTTCTTGCTCCTTGTGGCCCAACTGAGGGCTGCTGGGAGCAGGGGGCGGGGCTTGTTGCATGTGCCCGCCCCCTGGGCTCCTTACTGCCGGAGCTCCGCTCCTGTCCTGCAGGAAATGAACCCTGATTGTGCCCCTTCCTCTCTCGTTCTGTAGCTGAACTCGCAGAATATGTGCTGAAGGACAAGCCGGAAGAACCCGTCAAAGACCTTTTTGGTAAGCCGCTTCCGCTGTCTCTCGCCTCCTCTTACCCTTTGCAGGAAGATGGCAAATTGGGGGCCATTTGGGGAGGCAGAGAAGTTCTGGCCTGTGGGGCACAGTACAGCAGGAAGTCCGCCCCAGGCAAGCACCGCTGTTCCCGTTTGTTTCCACAAGGCTCTGTGATCTGCCTTGTTGTTGGGGCCTCTTATATTTGACAAGAGTTTCTTAATGCCTAAACAATCTCAGTCACCATATCTAGATCGTAGTGAGCCAGTTTGGTGTAGTGATTAAAGGGGGTGGCTCTAATCAGGGAGAACTGGGTTTGATTCCCCACTCCTCCTCCACTTGCACTGGCTGGATGACCTTGGGCAAGCCAGAGTTCTGATAAGAGCTGTCCTTGAAAAAGAGCAGTTCCTGTCAGAGCTCTCTCAGCCCCGCCTACCTCACAGGGGGTGTCTGTTGTGGGGAGGGGAAGGGGAAGGAGTCTGTAAGCCGCTCTGAGACTCCAAGTGAAGGGCGGGGGATAAATCCAATCTCCTCCTCCTCTTCTTCTTCTTCTTGATGGGCAGTTAAACATTACCCCTAATCCTGGATATATGTTTAGCACCTTGAATTGTTAGATATATCTATACATGTTTGCGATAATGCATTATATTTATAATTATCTTCTTACACATCTTCGCTGTAGTTATATTTGACTATTATGTTTACTGTTACTCATTGTTAGTCTTTGTTACTTTTCAAGGTTATTTAATAAAAAAAATAAAGCTGTTGCAAGACGGGGAGGAGGAGGCTTGCACAGAGGAGGTTTGTGGGGGGGGGGCGCTTTGGTTTTCTGCCACCGTCACCAGGAGGGTCTTGAGGGGTGGCTGGCTACGACTCCCTCTTTCCTCCATTTGGCATTTCCTTGGGGGCAGGGACCTGAGCTTTTCCTTTGCTTGTGTGCAGGGCTGTTTCTGTAGCAGGAACTCCTTTGCCTATTAGGCAACACATCCCTAATGTAGCCAATCCTCCAAGAGCATACAATAGCCCCTGTCAGAAGAGCTCTGTAAGCTCTTGGAGGATTGGCTGAACACTCCCTGTTTGAACTGCTGACTTCGGGTAGAAGATATAGGACAATTAAAACAAGGACAAATAAGTTAAAAAACAGTTTTTATTCGAGAGCTATTATTGCTTTAAATGCTGTCTGAAATTGGACTTTAGATGACATTGGTGGTTTAAGTTGCATTGTGAACCTTAAGGGAATTATGGGATGGTTGTGAATGGTTGTGTGAGTGTATATGAGTATGGCTGTAGATCACTGAAATGATTGCACCTTTAATTTCGTTGTACTATGTACAATGACAATAAAGTATATTATTATTATTATTATTATTGTTATTGTTATTTTTGTTGTTGTTGTTGTTGTTGTTGTTGTTATTATGAGTGTGTCGCCTAATATGCAAAGGAGTTCCAGCTACAGAAAGAGCCCTGGTTGTGTGGATTGGAAGTGTACCGCACCCATGGCCAATGTTCCCTTTAAGCTGTGGAGTCTTGTTAGCAAAAATTCTACTATATGAGCTACCGGCATTAAAGTTGTGAGCGGGCCATTTGGCTCCTGCATGAATCAGTTTGCTCTGGAGCCCTCCTTCCTGAGCTAAGACAAAAATGTGTGAGCCAGGGGCTAAGAAACTGTGAGCTAGCTCACACTCACTCAGCTTAGAGGGAACACTGCCCATGGCCGGCTCTAGGTTGAAAATAACCCTGTGTGGCGCTTGGCGCTGGTTGCGTGCTCCCTGGCGCTGACGTCTTTGTGCCAGAGGAGGCCACCTTGGAGTCTCTACCTGGCCAAACTGGGCCTCGTCACCCTGCCCTGAGAAGTTCTCAGCATTGCTCCCTCTAAGCTGTGGAGTCCCGTGAGGAAAAATTCTACTTTGTGAGCTGCTGGCATTGAAGTTGTGAGCCAGTAATTTGGCTGCTACATAAATTAGTTTGCTCTGGAGCCGTCCCTTCTTGAGCCGGGACAAAAATTGGTGAGCCGAAGGCTAAAAAACTGGGAGCTAGCTCGCACTAACTCAGCTTAGAGGGAACACTGGTTCTCGGCCTCGCAGTTCCTTCAGTGCTGCCCCGCTCAGACTTTGTGGTGTCTGTGGAAGCCGCGTGGCCTGGATCTGTGTGTTCGTAACCTCTGTTTTCCTTCCAAACGACACAACAGGAAGCCTTAATCAAGATGATGCTGTGACTGACGGTTGTTCCGAGCCAAAGACACAACGACGTAAGTAAAACCCCCCACCCGGAAGGCGTCCATGACAACTATACCCCCACAGTTCCCTCCACCCCCCCCCCAAAGACCTGCCAACAGGGGTCCTTTCGTAGAAAAAGAGGTGCAGGAGCTCATTAGCATAACTCATTAGCATAACTTATCTGCATATGCCACACCCCCTGACATCACTGGAAGTGTGTCAGAAGGCAACACCCACCACTCAGGCTGCACTGGACTGTTTTGGATTGCTAGCTATTGGGGGGGGGACGTGCAGATCTGCCCTCACAGAGGAGGGAGAGCTTGTACCTGAATAAAACTTGGTCTTAAAGGTGCCACTGGACTGTTTTGGATTGCTAATGGGGGGGGGCTCTGCAGCTTACCTGGCTGCTTCTTGCTCTGAATGAGGGCTGCTGGGAGCAGGGGGTGGGGCTTGTTGCATGTGCCCGCCCCCTGGGCTCTTTACTGCCGGAGCTCTGATCCTGTGCGCTCCTGCAAGAAATGACCCCTGCCTGCCAAGCATAATTTTATACCCTGGCGTGAGCTAGCACTGGTCTGAATATAACCCCCTGTATTGACAGGACAGAACCTGGGGCCAACTTCTTTACTTACTTGAAACAGTTTCACCCGGCTGTCGACGGTTCAAAACAGGGTCTGGATTAGGGTTACCAGCCTCCAGGTGTTGGCTGGAGACCTCGTGGGACCACACGCCCTCTCCAGGCGACATTTATTTATTTATTTAAAGCATTGCTTCCACTTCACTTCTCCTGGAGAAAACGGCTGCTTTGGAAGGTGGACCTGAAGAAATAATCCAGAGAGCTTTGGGGCGGCCAGCCTCCAGGTGGTTGTGCATATAACAACACAGTCAAAAACCGTGACACTGTACCCGCAAATACTTGACGCTTGGTTCAAAGCATTTCAGGGCTCTTTTTGTAGAAAAAGCCCAGCAGGAACTCATTAGCATAACAGGCCACACCCAACAGCAGAAACCCATTAGCATATTAGGCCACACCCCTGACAGCACAGCTCATTAACACATTAGGCCGTACCCCCACGTTACCAGAAGTGTGGTCATCCAGCCACACCCACCTTTCCCTTCTTATTCTGTTTACTTTGTTTGTTGTCCAAACCCAGGGCCTTTTTTTGTAGCAGGAACTTCTTTGCATGTTAGGCCACACACCCCTAATGTAGCCAATCCTAATGAGTTTCTACTGTTGGGTGTGGCCTATTATGCTAATGAGTTCCTGCTGGGTGTCGCCAACTCAGGAGCCAGACAGAACTCCATTCCTGTGCGTTCCTGCCCAAAAATAGCCCTGGATAACCGTTGCACCACATGTTAACCACTACACAAAGTCTGTAGTGTAGGACTCTAGATAACCATTCAGATCCGTTCCAAAGACACCAATGTTAACAGTCCAATACTGTTCCACAAATCCCCAAACCCCACCCTCCTCAGTCCCCACCCCCAAATGCTCCGGGTCTTTCCAAACCCAGAGCTGGCGACCCTCGTCTGGACCTTTTGGGCCCCGGTCATCTTTAGAGCCCAGTTCCTGTTTACTGTTTCTGGACCGGAGACTTAAGAAGACGGCGTCCCCGTCAAGTCCGTTTTGGTGCCAGTTTGGAACTGCCTTGCTTGGACTCATAGGGGTGCCAACTCTGGCTTGGGGAATTCCTTGAAGTGTGTGGGCTATGCCAGAGGAGGGTGGAATTTGGAAAGGGTAGGGAGTTCAGCAGGGAAGCAATGCTCCTCTCCGTGGGATGTGAATTAGGCAGTTCCTCATAGGCTTGGCAACCCACAGGAGATATAAACTGGCAACCCGCGGGAGATATAAATTTGCTCTCTCCCTTCACCCCTGCAGGTGGAATTTGGAAAGGGTAGGGAGTTCACCAGGGAAGCAATGCTCCTCTCCGTGGGATGTGAACTAGGCAGTTCCTCATAGGCTTGGCAACCCGCCGGGAATATAAACTGGCAACCCGCGGGAGATATAAACTGGCAACCCGCGGGAGATATAAACTGGCATCCCACGGGACATATAAATTTGCTCTCTCCCTTCACCCTTGCAGGTAGCTGTTCCGATGCTCCAGAACCGAAACGCCAGAAACTTGGTACGTCGGCATTTGAGTTGCAACAGTCGAGCTTCCCAGAACCGTCGGAGGCCACGACTAGGGCGGCGTATTTAATCTGGACTGCTTCCCAGTTTTTATTTTATTATTAATTATTAGGACAATGCATATGTTTAAAGAGGAAGACAACTTAGGAAAAGGTCTTAGGTGACATCTCAGTTAATATTTATTAATTCACGCCATTCGTACCCCATCTATCTCCCCAACGGTGACCCAAAGTAGCTCACATTGTACTCCTCGCCTCTGCCTTAATCCTCATGACAACCCTGTGAGGTAGGTTAGGCTGTGAGTGTGGGACTGACCCAAGGTCACCCTGCCAGCTTCCATGGCAGACAGGGGATTCGAACCTGGGTCTCCCAGATTCTAGTTTGACAGTCTAGGGATGCCAGCCTCCAGGTGGGACCAGGGGACCCCCTGGAATTACAGCTCCTCTCCAGACCACCAAGAGAGCCAGTTCGATGTAGTGCTTAGGAGCGCGGACTCTAATCTGGGAGAACCGGGTCTGATTCCCCACTCCTCCGCATGCAGCCAGCTGGGTGACCTTGGGTCAGTCACAAGTTCTCTCAGGGCTGTTCTCTCAAGGACAGTCCTTGAAAGAGCTCTCTCAGCCCCACCTGCCTCACAGGGTGTCTGTTGTGGGGGGGGGGAAGGAGTTTGTAAGCCGCTCTGAGACCCCTTCGGGTAGTGAAGGGTACGGTATAAATCTCCTCCTCCTCCTCCTCCTTCTTCTATCAGTTTTTCTGGAGAGAATGGATGCTTTGGAAGGTGGACTCTATGGCACTGGGGTCCCATTTCTCCCCAGGCTCCACCTCCAAATCTCCAGGAGTTTCCCAACTCAGATCTGGCCACTGTAGCCCCCCCATCAATGTTCTCTCTAAGCTGTGGAGTCTAGTGAGCAAAAATTCTACTTTGTGAGCTCCTGGCATTCAAGTTGTGAGCGAGCGATTTGGCTGCTGCATAAATTAGTTTGCTCTGGAGCTACGTCCTTCCTGAGCGAAGACAAAAATGTGTGAGCCAGAGGCTAAAAAACTGTGAGCCGGCTCACACTAGCTCAGCTTAGAGGGAACACTGCCCCCCCCATCCCCTGCCGGTGGCCAGGAGAGAGCTGTGGCAACCGTATCTGACACTCTGAACCACTGCACTGCCCTTTGCTATTAAGCTATTAGGAACGAATATTTTTGAAAAATCTGGATATTAATAACAGTCAACAGACAAAACCCAGTAAAATATGAAGATCGTTTCAGACCCAAGTGGGTGACCTCGGGCCGGTCACACACTCCACGGCCACGTTGGTCTGCCGCCGAAGAACCGGGTTCGAGTCCAGCAGCACCCTCGAAACCAACGAGATTTTCAGACTATGAGCTTTTGAGAGTCCGGGCTTATCAATGACGAAGCGAGCTTGGACTCTCGGGAGGTTATACCCGAAAACATTGTTGGTCTCTATGGTGCTGCTGGACTCGAACCCAGCCCTTCAATACAATATGAAATATTAATAGCTGTAGTATAGCCAGTAGTAATAGCAGTAGTATAGCCAGTTTGGTGTTGTGGTTAAGTGCGGGACTCTAATCTGGGAGAACCGGGTTTGATTCCCCACTCCTCCACTTGCACCCGCTGGATGACCTTGGGCAAGCCATAGTTCTGATAAGAGCTGTCCTTGAAAAAGAGCAGTTCCTGTCAAGAGCTCTCTCAGCCCCACCTACCTCCCAGGGTGTCTGTTGTGGGGAGGAGAAGGGAAAGGAGTCTGTCAGCCACTCTGAGACACCTTCAGATAGTGAAGGGCCATGGGGTATAAATCCAGTCTCTTCTTCTCTTCTTAAATCAAGATCCAAATATTGGTGAACATTTGTATGTAAAGACGGGTGGGCCGTTTTAGTCTGTCTCTAGCAGTAGAAAAGAGCAAGGTTCCAGTGGCACCTTAAAGACTAACAACATTTGTGGCAGGGGAGGAGCTTTCGTGAGTCACGTGTAACACGAAATCTCCTCCCCTGCCACATATGTTGTTAGTTTTTGTTAGTCTTTAAGGGGCTACTGGAACCTTGCTCTTTTCTATTGGTATGTAAAGGCGATAAAACATTGAATATTAGTAAGCATAATATCACCTCTAAGGAGCAGCGGTGGCTCAAGTGGTGAGGACGCTGACCTGCAGGCTGTGGAAGGCCAGTAGTTCAGCAGTTCGAGACCCGAGTGTGTCGCATGACGGAGTGAGCTCCCGTCTCTAGTTCCAGCTCCTGCCAACCTAGCAGTTCGAAAGCAAGAAATTGCAAGTAGATAAATAGGTACCACTTCGGTGGGAAGGTAACAGCGTTCCGTGCACCTTGGTGTTTAGTCATGCCGGCCACATGACCACGGAAGCGTCTTCGGACAGCGCTGGCTCTTCGGCTTTGAAACAAAGATGAGCACCGCAACCCTAGAGTCGGACTCTACTGGCTTTCGAGCAAGGGAGACCTTTACCTTTACTTTAATATGAAGGGGACGTTGACTTTTGAAAACTTATACCCTGGAAATCTTGTTGGTCTTTATGTGATACTGGACTCAGATCACAAGCGGTAACATGCAAACACCGACCAAAAAAAGAGGGGGGGGGGACATATTTTAAGAAAGGGAGAAAAGGAAGAAAAAAGGAGTTTCCCAAATTAATCTAATCCATATATTATCAAAAACTAGGTCCACATCATCTTAAAACCTTGATTTAGAACAGAATTAGTTATATCTACAAAAGTTAATCGGGGGACCTGTTCTTTTCAAAGCTGCTGTTTGCCTGTTGTCTTTTCCCCCTTTTCCCATATATAATTAGTCCTCTCTTTTCCCCCATGCAGCACATTCACCAGGCCTCTGCTCCAGAAACAGTAGCCCGGCAGCATTTCCCCTGGACGCGTCTCCGCCGGAGGCCATCTCTCTCTCCAACTTCCACGTGCAGTTTTCCGTGACCACCATAAGCCCCATGGGCAGGCTTCCAAAGATATTCGGTACGAGAAATCATTGTCTGTTTGGGATCTCAGGCACAGCACAAAATATGATAAAAATTGTCAGTTAGCAGGCTGGGAGCGGTTGTCAGTCCCCCTCAGCAGTGAAACCTACATTGTCTGGAGTAGTTTGTCCAGCTTGGTGTCGTGGTTAAGTCTCTAATCTGGGAGAACCGGGTTTGATTCCCCACTCCTCCTCCACTTGCATCTGGCTGGATGACCTTGGGCAAGCCATAGTTCGGATAAGAGCTGTCCTTGAAAAAGAGCAGTTTCTGTCAGAGCTCTCTCAGCCCCACCGACCTCCCAGGGTGTCTGTTGTGAGGGGAAGGGAAAGGAGTTTGTAAGCCGCTCTGAGACTCCCTTGGGTAGTGAAGGGCAGGGTATAAATCCAATGTCTTCTTCTTCTTCTTCTTCTTCTTCTTCTTCTTCTTCTTCTTCTTCTTCTTCTTCTTCTTCTTCTTCTTCTTCTGTAGGGTCAACCTATGGTTGCCAATCTCCAGGGGGGCCCTGGAGAGCTCCAGGAATTACACCTGATCTCCAGATGACAGAGCTCTAGAGGAAATGTCTGCTTTGTAAGGGTGGGCTTTGTGGCATTATAATCTACTGAGTTTATAATCACCCCCCCCCCCAAATCTCCAGGAATTTTGTAGCCCTAGCCAGCCCCATAATTTGGGGCCGCTTGTATGTAAACAGCCTCAGATCAAAATGCATAGTCTATTTTTTTCAAGGAAAACTGTCCATCAAATTTCCTTTTCTCTGCTACATAAGGTGCAAGAGTGGTGGGTTTTTGTTTTTTTTTTAACATCTGGACACCAGGACTGTGGCTGGCCGTAATTACTGGGTAAAATAAAACAGGAGTCCAGCGGTCCCTTGCAGACACACAAGCCTCAGGAGTCTTCCTCATTTGGAATACTGTGTGCAGTTCTGGTCACCACACCTTAAAAAGGATATTATAGCTTTGGAAAAAGTGCAGAAAAGGGCAACTCGAATGATAAAAGGGTTGGAACACTTTCCCTATGAGGAAAGGTTAAAGCGCTTTGGGCTCTTTAGCTTGGAGAAACGACGACTGAGGGGTGACATGATTGAGGATTATAAGATTATGCATGGGATAGAGCAGGTAGAGAAAGAAGTACTTTTCTCCTTTTCTCACAATACAAGAACTCGTGGGCACTCCATGAAATTGCTGAGCGGTCGGGTTAGAACGGATAAAAGGAAGTACTTCTTCACCCAAAGAGTGATTAACACTTGGAATTCACTGCCACAGGAAGTGGTGGCATCTACAAGCATGCACGGCTTCAAAAGGGAATTAGATAAGCATATGGAGCAGAGGTCCATCAGTGGCCATTAGCCACAAGCTGTAGATGGGAACTCAGTCTGGGGCAAGGGATGCCCTGTATTCTTGGTGCTGGGGGGGGGGTCAACAGTGGGAGGGCTTCTAGTGTCCTGGCCCCACTGGTGGACCTCCTGATGGCACTGGTATTTCTGGCCACTGTGTGATACAGAGTGTTGGACTGGATGGGCCTTTGGCCTGATCCAACATTGGCATCTCTTATGTTCTAATGTTCCTTCGATTTGAGTGGCTCTTCCGTTGGAGGGAGAGCTTCTTAAGTTGGACAAAGTCCCTTTGGATTTAGGTTGAATGTTGTCCTTTCCTATCTAAGAGTGTACCTCCCAAATAAAGAGAGAAGCAGTTTCTCCGTTAAACTTGCAACGTGGCCCTGTGTCGCTTCGTGAGCTGAGTAACCTGGTAAAGTGACGCTGCTGCGTTTGTAGCTTTAAGCTCTCTCCGAATTAGTGGGGACTGGACTAACCACGCCAAATAACCTTTGATATATTGAATGCATTGATTCCCCTGGGACGGCCCCGAGAGCCCAGCGTCTTTTGAAGTGGCAACTGCGTTCCCGGGGCAGCATCTTGGACCGCTTGGGACAGCAGCATATCACCCAGTGTAGCGGTCATAGCTGGCAGTGTTTGGCTCCTTGGGGGCGACTCGTGCCCTGAGTCTGCCACAAAGCAGACAAGACAAACCTCTGTCTCTGCATCTCTCCTAATTCTCAGGGCCTCCCGACCCGGTGCTCGATACGGAAGGTATTCAGATGTTCCTGGCCTTTCTGCCTCCTTCTCCACAGCTGGATTTCCCGCTTGGACCGGCGATGTGGGACAACAATGTCTATCTGGGTGAGTGCCCTGTTCCCGGGTTTGCAGCCGGATCATAGAATCATAGACTGTTAGAGTTGGAAAGGGACCTTGCAGGTCATCTAGTCCAACCTCCTGCACTCTGCAGGAGCGTAGCCAAAAGATAGCCCTACAACATCCCCAAGAGATGGTCGTCCAGCCTCCGCTTGAAAACGTCCAGCGAAGGCGCATCCATCCCCTCCCGAGTCAGCCTGTTCCACTGCTCAACCATCATGTGCCTGTTCGCTTGGAAGCAAGTCCCACTGGGGGAATGAGCGGAACTGAGCTTACGGATATTCCTGGTACGCTCCGAACCAGCCTCCTTTCCCCATTCTGCTCCAAGCTTACGGTTTGTTTATTTTTATTTCATTTTAATTCAGTGTACCCACCGCTCTCCCCTAATGGGGACCCAAAGGCGGCAAACTTTTATGGTTATGCCAGTTAGGTACATCGTACCGCTCTTGTTAGCCGCCCTGAGCCTGTTCGCAGGATGGGCGGGGTATAAATATAATTAATAAATAAAGACACTGTTCTCCTCCCCTTCATTTTATCCTCACAACAACCCTGTGAGGTAGGTCAGGCCGAGAGCATGTGACTGGGCCCATGGTCACCCCGCAAGCTTCCATGGCACAAGGGAGGATTTGAACCTGGGGAGGGCTGCGGTGGCTCAGAGGTTAAGAGGATGAGCTGCAGACCGGAAGGTCGGTAGCTGGGCAGTTCGAGACCCGAGTGCCGCACGATGGAGTGAGCTCCCGTCTCCGGCCCCAGCTCCTGCCAACCTAGCAGTTTGAAAGCAAGAAATTGCAAGTAGATAAATAGGTACCGCTTCGGTGGGAAGGTAACAGCGTTCCGTGCACCTTGGGGTTTAGTCATGGCAGCCACATGACCACAGAAACGTCTTCAGACAGCGCTGGCTCTTTGGCTGTGAAACGGAGATGAGCACCGCAACCCTAGAGTCGGATTCGACTGGCTTTCGAGCAAGGGGAACCTTTACCTTTTACCTTTTATCCCAGGTACTAGTCCAGCACTCCTAACCACCACACAACACTGGCACACAATGGAGATGAACCTTGAAACGTTTGTCTCCTAAACCCCTTTTGAATTCTTTTTTCTTTTTCTTTTTAAATCAGCCTGAGGAGGAGTTCTGGAGAACTCAAAGGGTGGTACGTCATTTAAAAAAGGTAAAGGTCTCCCTTGCTCGAAAGCCAGTCGAGTCCGACTCTAGGGTTGCGGTGCTCATCTCCGTTTCCAAGCCGAAGAGCCAGCGCTGTCCGAAGACATTTCCGTGGTCATGTGGCCGGCATGACTAAACACCAAGGCGCACGGAACACTGTTCCCTTCCCACCGAAGTGGTACCTATTTATCTACTTGCAATTTCTTGCTTTCGAACTGCTAGGTTGGCAGGAGCTGGGGCCAGAGACGGGAGCTCACTCCGTCATGCAGCACACCCGGGTCTCGAACTGCTGAACTACTGACCTTCCACAGCCTGCAGTTCAGCGTCTTAACCCCTTGAGCCACCGCAGCACGTCGTTTGTTCGTTTGTTTGGTCCTAATACAAGGTCTGACGTGTTCTTTGAAGCCAGGACAGAAAAGCAGTGACTGCTTCATGCTGGCCGCTGCTGCCTCCCCGTGGCTTCGTGGCGCATCTGCACGCGAGGCAAAGTTGGCAGAGACATCTGAGAGACATGCGTCTCCAGCTGTCCTCTCTCTTTTTCTTTGGCTGTTAAAAGGGACCATGGCGTGAATGCACTGCTTGTTTCTCTCTTTATTCCTAGTGGAAGACGCAGTTGAAGAAGCGCCCGAGATCCTACCGCTTCCTTCTGAGAAAGCTGACAAAAGACCAGGTGAGCTTTCTGTTTTTAAAAAAGTCATTTCCGGCCCTGAAGGCAGGAGTCCCCCGCAGTGTCCCCTCTAAGCTGAGTTAGTGTGAGCCAGCTCCCAGTTTTTCAGCCTCCGGCTCACACGTGTTTGTCTTCGCTCAGGAAGGAGGTGGCTCCAGAGCAGACTAATTGATGCAGCAGCCGAATCGCTCGCTCACCACTTTAAAGCCAGTAGCCCACAAAGTAGAATTTTTGCTCACGAGACTCCGCGGCTTAGAGGGAGCCTTGGCCCCCAGCCTTTGGATTTCTGACACAGCCACTACAGAAGGCGGAGCCTGCCGCCGAATGGCTGTCGCTTCCCTTCAATTACACAGAGAAGATCCGCCAGAGCAAACCTATTGGAAAATCTGTACCGTCAATCAAATCTCCAGGGGCCTATCAGAAGCCTTGCTGGGCAACAGCCCCGCCTGGACCGACCCACTTTCTAAAAACACTTCACAGGCCACCATGTTGGGGGGGTCCCTTCGTTTAGGTCTTGAGCGGTACAGATATTGATTTAACTGTTTATTACCTATTTCACACGGCCCTCGGTTTGCCAGACCTGAGCGAGGCTGTTAACAACAGGACGCTTTGGAGGTCACCATAGGTCGGAAGCGACTTGGGGGGTGCATGAAACAGACTCACATTTTGGCTGCGTGGGGAAGCTGCAGGCTACGATTCATTGGGAGAGTTGCCAGGCCCCAGCTGGGGGTCGGGGGGGGATCTCCCGGTCAGCTGGCTGCCAGGAGAAAATCCCCACATACCTACAGCAACGTGGAGCAATGTGCCTGCGTCACCCGGAAGCGACTTAGGCTGGTTGGTGACAGGGGGACGACACTCTGGTTTATGGGCAAAACTCTATGGTTTGAGGGTGATTTTGCCATAGAGCTTTGCCCAAAACCATAGCATCGCCCCTGACGTGCCTACATCACTTCCTGGTGACGAAGGCACGGTGCGTGATGTCACTTCTGGTGAGGTCAGAACGATGGGGGCGACCCTCCCAGAGGACTGGCATCCCTACCTCCAGCCTCTGGGGGGGGGGGGGTGAGTTTGGGTTTTATGCAGACATAAAGATAATCCCAGTGTAAAATTAAGTGGGTCTTCTAGATGATTTTATGTTGTTTTTAATTATTATGGATTAACTTGTGTAAGATGCCCTCAGCCTGCTTTGCGGGGAGGGCGGGGTACAGATTCAATAAATGAATAAATCCTAGCCCTAAAGGCTCCAAATCCAGCCCCAAAGAAGAAGGCTCTGGGAGGACTGCGGAGCTTATGGGAGGAGATCAGGGTTCCCTCTGAGCTGAGTTGGTGTGAGCTAGCTCACAGTTTTTTTAGCCTCCGGCTCACACGTTATCTTCGTTCAAGAAGGAGGGCCACTGTTGCCCCCCACCCAAGCACCAAGAATGCAGAGCATCCCTTGCCCCAGATCGAGAGTTCCTATCTGTACCTTGTGGCTAAGAGCCACTGATGGACCTCTGCACTATATTAAGAACATAAGAGAAACCAATGCTGGATCAGGCCAATGGCCCATCCAGTCCAACACTCTGTGTCACACAGTGGCCAAAAATGCCAGGTGCCATCAGGAGGTCCAGCAGTGGGGCCAGGACACTAGAAGCCCTCCCACTGTTGCCCCCCCCCAGCACCAAGAATACAGTGCATCCCTTGCCCCAGACTGAGTTCCCATCTACAGCTTGTGGCTAATGGCCACTGATGGACCTCTGCTCCATATGCCTATCCAATTCCCTCGTAAGAACATAAGAGAGGCTGGTGTCTTTCTGTCCCACCGTCCTTCATTCCCTCCACATCTTGTTTCTCCCTAGAGAGCGTGGATGCCTTTTCCAGGCAGCTGAAAACCTCCCTGGGGGAAAGGTGCCGCTTTGTGCCCGCGGAGCGAGACGTCCTCATGGACCGCCTCTACGTCGAAGGCGACCTCCTGCGACGCCACGCTGAGAACCGGAGCGGGAGAAATGCCGACCTCAGGGCCGGCGACCTCGAAGAGAAGGAGAGGACAACGGTGGAGAGCCTGTTCCAGACGCTCGAGAGGAACGAACTCGGGGCCAACAAGGCGGCTCTCGTCTTGGGGAAGGCCGGGATGGGGAAAAGTCTCCTAGTCCAAAAGATCTGTCTGGACTGGTCCAGCGGCCGGTTTGCCCAGTTTGAGTTCGTCTTCCGCTTCGATTGCCGGCGGCTGAGCCTGCTCCAGGGGAAACGCTACAGTCTGAGGCAGCTGCTCTTCGAGTTCTCCGTCGACCCTCAAGAAGGAGGGGACGGCGACGTCTACCGGTATCTGCTGCAGAACCCTGACAGGGTCCTCCTGATCTTTGACGGCTTTGAAGAGCTGCAGGACCTAGAGGGCTTCTCCCTGTCTTCCGACAGCCTGACCCGTAAGGAGCCCTGGGGCATCGGCGCAGTCCTCGGCGGTCTCTTCCAGAAGAAGGCACTCAACGGTTGCACCCTGTTGCTCACTTCCCGGCCCAAAGACAAGTTGCACCAGTATTTGCCCAGGGTGGACAAGGTCCTGGAGGTGGTGGGGTTCTCCCCGCAGCAGGCCGAAGTCTACCTGGCCAGGTATTTTGAAGGGTGCCCCTACTGCGGAGATGCACGGGACCTCATCACAAGCGCAACTTATCTTTTCAGCTACTGCCACAATCCCGACCTGTGTCGGATCATTTGCCTCGTCTGCAAATCTGCCTTCGAAGCCGGAGACGGAGAACTGCCTTCCAGTCTCACCGGCCTTCTTGTCAGATTCCTCCTTCAAAAGCTGGGGTGTGCAGCTGATGAAGGAACGTCCCCAAAGCACGGGAACATCTCCACCTTAGCCCAAATTGCATGGTCTCTGGGACAAGGCCCGCAGCAGGCGCCGACGAGTGTGCGGTTCCCCTCCATCCAAGACAAGGAAGCGGCTTTGAAATGTGGGATCATGGAGCCCCTGGCGTCAAGCGATGGCGGGGAAGAATGCGGTTATGCGTTTTCTAGTTTCGTGGTGGAGAATTTCTTGGCGGCCCTGCATCTGGTCCTCGCCAAAGAGATTAAGGACAAAAGGCTCACCAAGCACCTCTGGGTGCCGTCCAAGCCCAAGAAGTCTCTCTGCTCGTGGGACTTGGTGCCTCGCTTCCTGGCCGGGTTGCTCTTCTTCCGGGATGACCGGAGCTCTTCTTCCCTCTTCGGAGAGGAAGGGGAGGTGGACCCAGAGAAAATGATCGCCAAGAAACGGAACAGCCTCTGCAGGTACATCCGGAAGCTTGAGATGGAGAGTTTCGGCCCGGACAAGCTGCTGGAGGTCTTCCACTGCGTCCGCGAGACGGAAGACCCGTTTCTTCTGCAGCACTTGGCCCTGAGGGTCAGGCCGGCCCTCTCGTTCTTTGGCTTCCCCTTCACCCCTCCGGATGTCTACGTCCTGCACTCCGTCTTGAGAAAAGCCAACAAGGAGTTTGCTTTGGACTTGAGAAGGAGCTCTGTGGGTTCGGAAGGACTCGGGCGCTTGGTCTGCCTCCAGAACGTCACGTCGTTCAGGTTGGTGGGATTTTTCCGGGCAATGCAGATGCGAAGATGTGTGCTCGTACCTCAGTAGGGGGGTGGCTTGCGGGGTCTTGCGGAAGCAGGGTGGGAGGAAGCCGGCAGAGAGGAGGGTCTTTGAAGGTGGCCGGACGGGGCATCACTTCCTGACAGAGCGTGTACTTTGTTCCTGGGTTGGGCTTGGACCAGGCCCATAGCTGGGGGAGGGGCTTTGGGGGAGGCTCCGCCCCCTTTCTTAAAGGCACAGCCCCACTTCTCCTGTAAATGCTTTTTTCAATCATTTTGAAACACTTTTTTAAAAAGAGTGGGGTGCAGTAGCCTGATCCAACATGACTTCTCTTACGTTCTTATGTCTGGGGCAAGTGGTGCTCTGTCTTCTTGGTGCTTGGGGAGCAATGTTGGGAGGGCTTCTGGAGTTCTGGCTCTGCTGGTGGACCTCCTGATGGCCCCTGGGTTTTGGCCACCGTGTGACACAGAGTGTTGGGCTGGATGGGCCACTGGCCTGATCCAACATTGGCTTCTGTTGTGTTCTTATGTCTGGGGCAGTGATGCTCTGTCTTATTGGCACTTGGGGGGCAACAGTGGGAGGGCTTCTGGAGTTCTGGCCCTGCTGGTGGACCTCCTGATGGCGCCTGGGTTTTGGCCACTGTGTGACATGGAGTGTGGGACTGAATGGGCCATTGGCCTAATCCAACATGGGTTCTCCTATCTTCTTATGTCTGGGTCATGGATGCTCTGTCTTCTTGGTGCTTGGGGGGGTCAATAGTGGGAGGGCTTCTGGAGTTCTGGCCCTGCTGGTGGACCTCCTGATGGCACCTGGGGTTTGGCCACTGTGTGACACAGAGTGTGGGACTGGATGGGCCACTGGCCTGATCCAACATTGGCTTCTGTTGTGTTCTTATGTCTGGGGCAGTGATGCTCTGCATTCTATGTGCTTGGGGGGGCAAGAGTGGGACGGATTCTGGAGTTCTGGCCCCGCTGGTGGACCTCCTGATGGCACCTGGGGTTTGGCCACTGTGTGACACAGAGTGTGGGACTGGATGGGCCACTGGCCTGATCCAACATGGCTTCTCTTAGGGTCTTATGTCTGGGGCAGTGATGCTCTGTATTCTTGGTGCTTTGCGGGGCAACAGTGGGATTAACAATGATAGGTTAAAGAGTTTAGGTCTGTCTTCTTGACGTTTGAGGAGCCACAGTGGGAGGGCTTCTGGAGTTCTGGCCCCGCTGGTGGACCTGCTGGGTTTTGGACTCTGTGTGACACAGAGTGCTGGACCAGATGGACTGTTGACTTGATCCAACATGGCTTCTGTTACGTTCTCTTACGTTCTCAGGTTGATGGGCAATAGATTTAGGACGGACAAGAGGAAGTACTTCTGTATTCAAGAAGTCGTTAAATGGTGGCATTTGCTGCCAGGGGACATGATGATAGCCACATACACAGATGGCTTTCCAAGGGGGTGAGACAGATTCCTGGAGGTGAGCTAGCTCACAGTTCCCTCTAAGCTGAGTCGGTGTGAGCTAGCTCACAGTTTTTTAGCCTCCAGCTCACACATTTCTGTCTTAGCTCAGGAAGGAGGGCTCCAGAGCAAACTAATTTATGCAGTCGCCAAACCGCTCGCTCACCACTTTCATGCCAGTAGCTCACAAAGTAGAATTTTTGCTCACAAGACTCCACAGCTTAGAGGGAACACTGGAGATGAGGTCTGTCTGTGGCTACTACTGGAGAGGAGCCTCCATTTCTAGAGGCAGCAGACCTCTGGATTTCAGTGCTGGGAGGCAGCAGCAGCAGCAGGGGAAGGTCTCAGCCGCTATGCCCTGTTTGTTCAACTCTCCAGGGCAACGAGGAAGATCTTTGCCAAGCAATCGGTATAACCCAAAGGGATGTGCTTGGCACGCCAAAGGTTCAGTCTCCAGGGGGAAAGGAGAGGGGAGACCTTTTTCCTGCCTGAGCGGTTGGAGAGCAGGATGGACTGGTGCTCTGACTTGGTTTAAAGCTGCTTTTTACAGGTCCTGTAGCGCAGCTGTAGAGCGCGTGCCGTGTGTGCAGAAGGTCCCAGGATCAGGCCCCCTCATCTTAAGTCGAGGGAGATTCGGAAAGACCCCAGAGCACCGCTGGAATCAGACAGTGCTGATCTAGATGAACCGGCACTCAAATTTGGTACACAGCAGCTTCACATAGCTCTGGAGGGTTGCAGCGAGTCCAAAGCGGAGAGCCAGTTTGGTGTAGTGGTTAAGTGTGCAGACTCTAATCTGGGAGAACCGGGTTTGATTCCCCACTCCTCCACTTGCACCTGCTGATGTGACCTTGGGTCAGTCACAAGTTCTGGCACAGCCGTCCTTGAAAAAGAGCAGTTTCTGTCAAGAGCTCTCTCAGCCCCACCGACCTCACAGGGGGTGTCTGTTGTGGGAAGGGGAAGGGAAAGGAGTTTGTAAGCTGCTCTGAGACTTCAAGTGAAGGGCAGGGTATAAATCCAATCTCCTCCTCCTCCTCCTCCTCTTCTTCCTCTTCCTCTTCTTCTTCTTCTTCTTCTGAAGCAACAACGAGACAGCTGGTATCGCTCGTATCCGCTGGGGGGGCAGTTCCTTATCCCGGAGCTTGTTGATCCCTCAGTGCCACGTGCGGCTTTCTTGCAGGGCGCCACTTGGGGACACCGTTCAGCTCTGGGAGCGCTTGTGGGAGACGGCGGGAGGCGAGCGGCTGCGGTCAGCCGTCGAGAAATTCGTCATCGATCCTTTCAAAGCCCAGACGGTGAAGGACGTGGATGACCTCTCTGCCCTTGTGGACATGCAGGAGAAAATGAGACGCAGGTAAGGGAGGGGCTCGCCAGTGTGGCCGGGCGCTGTTCGTCACAGGGATCCCCAACGGTGTGCCCATGGGTGCCACAATGCCTGCCGACGTGTTCCCTGGTGCCCCCTTCCTCCTCCCCCAAAGCAAAGTGCTGGTCCTGGCTTTCCTGAAGGGGCTTCTGACGAGCCGGGAAGGTATCTGCAGGGAACACCCTTTCAGAGACAGCGGCTGCAACCAAAGGAGGAGGCGTGGCTTGGAAGCGCCGTACTTGTTGCGGTTAGGCCAGGGCTATTTTGGGGCAGGAACGCACAGGAACGGAGTTCTGGCTGGCTCCTGAGTTGGCCACGCCCAGCAGGAACTCATTAGCATAATAGGCCACACCCAACAGCAGGAACTCATTAGGATTGGCTACATTAGGGGTGTGTGGCCTAACATGCAAAGGAGTTCCTGCTACAAAAAAAGGCCCTGGGTTTTGACAACAAACAAGGTAAAAAGAATAAGAATCAAAAGGTGGGTGTGGCTGGATGACCACACTTCTGGTAACATGGGGGTGCGGCCTAATGCGCTAATGAGCGGTGCTGTCAGGGTGTGGCCCAATATGCTAATAAACAGTGCCGTCAGGGTGTGGCCTATTATGCTAATGAGTTCCTGCTGGGCTTTTTCTAACCCAGGCCCTGGGTTAGGCCTTTTGCCTCGCCTTCCCTCCCATGGCAACCCTTTTGTGGGCACCATCAGAGTCAAGGGAAAGCAAATGGGGTTGCCATCTATGGGCTGGGAAACACCTGGAGATTTTAGAGGTGGGGCTTGGGGAGGGGCAGGGTATAATCCCATAGTCCACCTTCCAAAGCAGCCATTGTCTCCAGGGGAAGCCATCTCCGTGGTCTGGAGATTAGTTATAATTCCAGGAGTTCTCCAGGGCCCACCTGGAGGCTGGCAACCCTGTCTTCCAAGGTGGGCTGGGGGTGGTGGTGGCAGAATTGATCCTGGGTGAGTTGTCGCTGCCGGGTTCTCCTTAAAACCCCGAAGGAACGAAACCTTCCTCTTCCTCTCCGAAGCACCGCACATTTATTGTCACTCCCCCGATTTTGTTCTGTTTAGCGAGGCGGGCCCATCCGGTTGCGACGTCGTCCGCGAAGTTCCGGCCGTGGTGGATCTTCGACACCTCGAATTTGCGTGAGTAAGAGAGGATGACGACCAAACAGGCAAAGAGAGGGTCTGTCGTGAGCCGTTAGCAAAAAGCGTAACCTCCTTGCATGGAGCAAAACACCTCTGCTCCTTGCAGACCTGGAATGCTCCTTGGAAGGGCTGGCTGCCCCTCAGTTGGGGCTCCATGGCACTTCCGTCTTCCCCTCCAGCGGAGAACCAGTGCTGCTTCCGTCATTCCCCTCTCCTGCATTTTAATGCCATGTTATTGTTAAGATGCTGAGCTGCAGACCGGGAGGTCGGTAGCTGGGCAGTTCGAGACCCGAGTGCCGCATGACGGAGTGAGCTCCTGCCTCTGGCCCCAGCTCCTGCCAGCCTAGCAGTTCGAAAGCGAGAAATTGCAAGTGGATAAATAGGTGGGAAGGTAACAGGCAGCGTTCCGTGCGCCTCGGCATTTAGTCATGCCAGCCCCATGACCACAGGAACGTCTTCAGACAGCGCTGGCTCTTCAGCTTGGAAATTGAGATGAGCACTGCCCCCTAGAGTCGGATTCGACTGGCTTTCGAGGAAGGGAAACCTTTGCCTTCACTTATTGTTTTTCATGTATTTGTGGAGTCCCCCAGGCAGGCAGAACCCCTCCTTTGACGATGGGCGGTTCCATTTTGTCCCTTTGGTATTAGCAGCTGTTGGGCTGATGTTATTGTGTGCATTCATCCCCCCCCCCGCCCCCAGGCCAACCCAAGGTGATACCCAGCCCTTGTTCCTGGGGGCCCAGTGCTCCTTTCCCAGTACAGTTGCCAACTTTGGGTTTGGGAAATTCCTGGATGTTTGAGGGTGAAGCCTGTGGAGGGCGGGGTTTGGGGGGGGAACCTCCGCGGAGCACAATGCCACGGGCTCCACCCTCCCGAGCAGCCATTTTCTCCAGGGGAACTGACCTTTGTCGTCCAGAGATCTGTTTGCTTATTTGATCGTTTGTTTACTAAATTCGTCTTGCTCGGCTGCCTTTCCCTGCAAGCAGGCCTCCGGGCAGCTTACGCCCAGCTTCGAGGCCTTCCTTCTGTTCCTGTCCTTGCGGGATTCCAGTGAGACCGTGACCCCCCCCAAACCGTCTCATGTCGTCAGCAAGGCAGAAGCAAACTCTAGGGTTGCCAAGTTGATTTCTCCTACCTGCGGGGGAGCCTCGCTGCGCTCCAGGAGCTCTCCGTTGATGCGCACGCGTGCCACCAGCACGTCACTGGAAGTGACGCGCGACGTTGAACACGTTGAGGGTGTGGCCCTGATCATCGGAGGGAAAACCATAGAGTTTTCCCTCCGACGATCGGGGCCACGCCCCCAATGTGATTGGCGTGGTTGCGGTGATGCAGCCACGCTGCGCTTCGGGGGGCGGAGTTCCCCCCGGGGCTCGACTCTGTGGCGGCGGAAATTGGGCCTCCGAAGCGGGGGTTTACCCGCCCCCCGCCCCCACTTGGCAGCCCTAGCAAACTCCAGCTGCTAATATCTGAACCGTCCCCGTGATAGCTCTTCCAAAGCACCCCTCCATTTTGGCTTTGCAGGTTGGGACCCACCTGTGGACTGAAAGGATTCAAAAAATTGGTGGAGATTCTGGGCGCGTTTCCAGCTCTCCGGCATTTGGAGTAAGTGCTCTCTCTCAAGGGTTGCCAGCTCCGGGTTGGGAAATCCCTGGAGATTTTTTTGGGGGGGTGAAGTCTGGCAAGGGTGGGGTTGGGGGAGGGAAGGACCTCTCACGGGGCACGATGCCATAGTGTCCACGTATCCAACGCAGCCATTTTCTCGAGGGGAACCGATCTCTGTCGCCTGAAGATCAGTTGTAATCTATGCTTCCTCTAAGCTGTGGACTCTTGTGAGCAAAAATTCTACTTTGTGAGCTCCTGGCATTCAAGTTGTGAGCGAGCCATTTGGCTCCTGCATAAATTAAGTTTGCTCTGGAGCCACATCCTTCCTGAGCTGAGACACAAATGTGTGAGCCGGAGGCTAAAAATCTGTGAGCTAGCTCGCACAAACTCAGTTTAGAGGGAACACTGGTTGTAATCCCAGGACATTTCCAGCCACCACCTGAAGGTTACCAGTATATGAGAGATCATGGGAAACGCAGTTAAGAAGAACCAAAATACGGCCACAATATAATTAGTCAGTGTAACACTGTATAGCTGGTTATATTGTTTACCAAGCACATTCCTATAAACAGATACATGCAAAGGTTACAATGGATAAATGTTTTTTAAATAAACGAAGTACTCGTGCCAAAGTTCAGTTCTAATTATTTCCTTCTCAGTTTCTTCTTGTGCATATTGAGTCCAAGCATTCTTTGCAAGCTACAGCAAAGAACTTTACACCAAGATGAAGTTGTATAATAGAATTCTACAAACAAATTTCACAAGATTGATTTGACTGCCAGGTTGTCCTTAAGAAAGCGAACCAAAGGGCTAAGCTAGCAATGTATATTATAAAAGTACAAATATTTATTAGGGTGTACACATGTTAAAACATATACTGATAGAAATCTTTATCTAAGTATCAAATTTATAAAAACTTAACCAATACTAATACATGTGATGGGTAAACACTTTCCTACTGGAGACCAAACGCGTTTCGGCCCCTAAGAGCCTTCCTCAGTGGTCACAATTATCAATATAGTATAGACACATATTCATAGACCTGTATACAAGATCTTTAGGACTCATATATTAAAACCAGAAGTTGCTTCCTGAGATTATAAAAATAAAAATAGGAGGGGGGAGAGAAACTTCATTATTACTTCCAAATGTATATAAAATCATTATTAATTGAAAAATGATTCTTTCAAAGATAAAGTTACCTTGTATATTTGTAATTATATTACTGGTATTAGTGATGGGCCATAGGTATAGCCATATCAATTCCACCAATTAACAGAAGTAACAGATTTTTTACCTTGAAGGAGGGACACACATTCAGACCTATGAAATCTCTGTTACCAGGTTTGTTGACCAATTCCATTATTTTAATTTGGGTTAAATTTATTATACAATTTGATTTATTACAAAAATTTCACTATTTCATTTCATTTCTTTTTAATTTAGAATAATTGGTAACACCAGTAATATGATTACAAATATACAAGGTAATTTTATCTTTGAATTATTTTTCAATCAATAATTATTTTATATACATTTGAAAGTAATAATGAAGTTTCTCTCCCCACCCCCCCTATTTTTATTTTTATAATCTCAGGAAACAACATCTCCAGTAGGAGAGTGTTTACCCATCATATGTATTAGTATTGGTTAAGTTTTTATAAGTCTGATACTTAGATAAAGCTTAGCCCTTTGGTTCACAGTCTTATCTTGAGTTGAGTTTCTCCCCCCCCTTCCCCCCCCCCAGTTTTTGTCTTTAAGAAAGGGCAGAAACGGGGGTCTTTAGCCAGCCCGTTGGAGGCCTTGTCAGTTGCTACGCTTGGACTAAACATACAGGAGAAGAAACTGATAAGGAAATAATTAGGACTGAACTTTGGCACGAGTACTTTATTTATTTAATAACGTTTATCCATTGTAAGCTTTGCATGTATCTGTTTATTGGAATGTGCTTGGTAAACAATATAATCAGCTATACAGTGTTACACTGAGTATGTTACACAGGCAATGCTCCCTCTAAGGTGTGGGGTCTTGTTAGCAAAAATCCTACTTTGTGAGCTACTGGCATTAAAGCTGTGAGCCAGCAATTTGGCTGCTGCATGAATGTTTGCTCTGGAGCCCTCCTTCCTGAGCTGAGACAAAAATGTGTGAGCCGGAGGCTAAAAAACTGTGAGCTAGCTCACACTAACTCAGCTTAGAGGAAATACTGATCACAGCTATATTTTGGTTCTTCGTCACTACCTGGAGGTTGGCATCCGTAGCTCTCTCCAAGTCCTGAGTCCTCGGAGAGCCAGAACAGGCAAGCCCAACTCAACCTTGGGCAACTTTGCATGCTCATACCTATAACATTCCCGCAGTGGGGTATTTGTGCTGGTCCTGATTCCAGGTCTTACGTGGCTTCTGTTTTGGACTGGTGTGGTGCCCTGTGACCACTCCTCTGATACTTAGTGTGGGCAGCCGGCCTGGCAGAGCAACTCCCTGCAGCCTAACATCTTACAGCTTTTTAAGCCATTGGTTGCTGCTGGAAACACGTGACTCCATCCAGTGTCTGATAACCAAGCAATAGTCTGAGTCGGTATTGGAATGAGGAGAAGTCCATTCTGATCAGAGTCCTTCGGGACTTCCCAACGAAACATCCTCTGTCTCTTTTCAAAAGGGTTGTGTGCATTTCATGTGCCTGCCACCCCCAATCCCTTGGAAGGGCCCTTGAACAGCTTAGGGTGGGAGTTCCTCAGGGTGGGGGACCTTGAGACTCTTTGCTGAAGCTCATGTGGGAAAAGGGCCACAGGCAATGGAGCTCTGTAAACGAATATATCTCCCTGTTTCCTACCTTCCCGCAGCTTGGATTCTCAAAAGGAGAACGAAATCGGGGACGAAGGCGCGGCGGCCCTCAGCGACGTGCTTCCTGCCTTACGCTCCCTGGAAACACTGAAGTAAGTTGTGTGCCTGAGGGGAGGCCCGTTCCAGGCTCTGGGGGGGAAGGAGAAAGTGGGGTACCCCAGGGTCATGGACGATGCACCCCCAAGCAGCCCTCCACATGCAGAGGAACAGGCTTCCCCAAAGCACTGCGGGGAGGGGCTTGCTTCTCCGTCGCCCCTCCTGCTTCTGCGTGCCTACACGCACAGCCTGTCGGGCATTGTCCTAAAGTTAAGCATAGGTTCTGTGCGCAGAATTAAAAACAAAGGAGCAAATCAACGTCTCGAAAAAGCGTGCTGTCGTGCGCCACCTGCTGATATCCTGCCCAGAGTCCTACAGCGGCTCCTTGGGCTCTCCAGAGGGACGTCCAGAAAGCCAAAGTCATTCCCAGACTGGCCATTCCTTGGGGTTTCCTGGGCAGCCCTTTGGCCACAGTGTAAATTCTGTGCATAGCTGAGCCAACAGTACACACATGAAGCTGCCTTGTGCTGAGTCAGGCCTTTGGTCCCTCAAGGTCAGTATTGTCTACTCAGACTGGCAGCAGCTCTCCAGGGTCTCAGGCAGAGAAAGGTCTTCCACATCACCAACTGCCTGGTTCTTTCAACTGGAGATGCTGTTGGGGATTGAACCTGGGGCCTTCTGCATGCCAAGGTGATGATGGGAAAGGCTCTAACCTTAGCTGGCAGGAGAACATCTTGACTTAATAAACACCCCAGCACTTGTGGCCAAACAGAAGATGTGGCCCAGTGGTAAGAGCCTCTGCTTGGCATGCAGAAGGTCCCAGGTTCAGTCCCCGGCATCTCCAGTTGAAGGACCAAGAAGTAGGTTATGTGAAAGATCTCTCCTTGAGACCCTGGAGAGCGGCTACTGGTATGAGCAGGTGACACAAACCTTGGTGGACTGATTGTCTGATTCAGTTATCAGGCACCTTCGTGAGTGTTAAAAGTGGGGTCTCCAAGCCTGAGACCAGAGGTGCTAGTAAAGAACAGCAACGTTTATTCTGGTGGAAGGTTTTTTGTGTTAGAGCTCACTTCATCAGATGCATAGAGGTGTAAATCCATTCATCCAGATTTATATACACTACAAAAAAGGTGGGCTATTATTGCCAATGTCCTAAAAAATACAACAAAATAGGCTCTTAACATTGCAATCTTTTTTTTTTTAGCTTGTCACAGAACAAGATAACTAACATGGGAGCAGAGAAGCTAGCCAATGCTCTTCCTTCTCTGCCTTCACTCAGGACGCTGAGGTGAGTTCAGTCCGTGTCCCACCCAATGTTCCCTCTAAGCTGTGGAGTGTTGTGAGCAAAAATTCTGCTTTGTGAACTACTGGCATTAAAGTTGTGAGTGAGCAATTTGGCTACTGCAGAAATTAGTGTGCTCTGGAGCCCCATCCTTCCTGAGCTAAGACAAAAATGCGTGAGCCGGAGGCTAAAAATCTGTGAGCGATCTCACACTAACTCAGCTTAGAGGGAACAGTGGTCCCACCCCACACCCCACCCCATGCCGGTCCTGTCTTCCTTCGCCAGCTGCATCAGAGGCTTATCATTGCACAAGGGATCAGGAGGATAATTTCCTTTTTAATAAGGAGGGTGTTTTCTGCAGCCTTGAATTCAGGGGAGAAACGCTAGCCGCAAGCCGGGATTCACGATGAAATCCCTAATGCCGACTGGGCTGCTTGCTGTGACGCCCTCCACCGCGTGGAAGCTGAACAGGGCTGGGTCAATTTCCACCGAGGTGGGTCTTGGTCTCTGTGCTGAAGGCCATCAAGTCCAGCTCCCCAGGCAGCATTTTTTGACTTGTGGGGCAAAAGTTTTTCTGGTGGGGCTGCCGTTATTTGCCATAATGGGGGGGGGACGCACACCCCTCTCCCTCCCCTCCTGCAAAATTAAAAGGGCTCTTCAGCTGATCAGCGGGGAGCACGTGGCCCTCTGATCACCTGGAGGGCCTTTTAAACCTTGCAGGAGGGGAGGGAGAGGGGCGCATGCCAGTTTGGTGTAGTGGTTAAGTGCGCGGACTCTGATCTGGGAGAACTGGGTTTGATTCCCCACTCCTCCACTTGCACCTGCTGATTTATTTATTTTTTATTTATTTCAGTCCATTTATATCCTGCCCTCCCCACACGCAGGCTCAGGGCGGCTTACAAGGCACAAGTGCAATAAAAACAAATAGATTTAAAACAACTGAAGCTTAAAAAAAAATGTGACCTTGGGTCAGTCGCAAGCTCTGACAAGAGCTGTCCTTGAAAAAGAGCAGTTTCTGTCAGAGTTCTCTCAGCCCCACCACCTCACAGGGTGTCTGTTGTGGGGAGGGGAAGGGAAAGGAGTTTGTCAGCCGCTCTGAGACTCCAAGTGAAGGACGGGGTATGAATCCAATCTCTTCTTCTTCTTCTTCTTCTCTAAAGAAGCGGGGGCCCTTTAAGGAAGGGGGCGGGCTCTTTAAGGAAAGGGGCAGAGCCTCCAATAGCCTCACCATAGCTACAGACCGGGTCAAGTCCCTTTTGACTGATGGTTTCCTTGTGAATTAATACCCTCCGAAATGCCGTGTTGTCAGCAGCCCTGCTCAGGTCTTGCAAACGGAGGGCCCCTGTGGCTTCCTGGATTGAACTGATCCATCTCCTGCGGGGCCTTCCTCTTTTCCTGGCACGATTGTCTTTTCCGGTGACTCTTGTCTTCTCAAAACGGGACCAAAGTTACGATAGCCTCAATTTGGTCATTTTGGCTTCTAGGGAGAGGTCAGGCTTGACTTGATCGAGAGCTCACTCATTTGACTTTTTTGGGCAACCCACGTTATCCGTAGAACTCTCCACCAACACCACATTTCAAATGAAGGATAGCAGTATGATAAATATCTCAAAACGGATACCAGACTGTCGCCTGTGAAACGGCTCTGAATTCCGATGCGCTCTGAGTCAGAACAAAACACAAGCAGCAACTGGAGTCAGATAAACATTCTGCTTTCCCCCAGAGTACCTCGGTTCGCCATAGGTGAGCCAGCCAAGCCCTGTCTAGGAAGCAAGAGTCCATGGCACTTGCTCCCAGAGGAGACAAGAAATAATTGGGCAGACACAGCTGAGCAGGGCTCCCTCTAAGCTGAGTTAGTGTGAGGTCGCTCACCGTTCTTTAGCCTCTGGCTCAGAGATTTCTTTTTTTATATATAATTTAACTTTTTCCATTACACAAAATAAAAAGTTCAAACTTAATCTTTCACATATTTTGGAGTTTACATTATACATTTTTTCCCTTCCATCTATCTATCTTTTGCCATCTTTTTTGGAACATACTTTCTTCTTTCCCTGCTAATATCATATTTACTTTGTCCATTTCTTTTAATTCCATAATTTTTGTAGTTAATTCTTCTCTATTAGGTATTCTATCTGACTTCCAACATTTTGCTATCTGTATTCTAGATATCGTAAGAATACATAATATCACACACACGTCATTGTATTTAATCCCGTCTGGTATCATATTTAGTAAATATACTTCTGGTTCTAACTTCAAGTCTATTTCGATTATCTCTAATATCAGCTGTTTTACCATTTTCCAAAATTTGCAAATCTTTTCACATCTCCACCATGTATGATAGTACAGATTTCTGTCTCAGCTCAAGAAGGAGGGCTCCAGAGCGAACTAACGTATGCAGTAGCCAAATTGCTCACTCACAGCTTTAATGTCGGTAGCTCACAAGGTAGGGTTTCTGCTCACCAGAGGCTAAGCTGTGATGGAGCACTGCAGCTGAGGACGCTTCAGCCTCCAGAATTTCAAACCCCCCCCCCCCAAAAAAAAAAACCTTTTTGGAATATCTCTGTGCTCCGTTTGCCTCTGCAGTGTCATTCACACTCTGGAGTGAATGATTTATTAATTTCAAACCAGTCGGGGGGAGGCGGGGGGGGGGAATGGACAAGAGCTTTCAGACGGGTTGGAAACATCCTGACATGAACGTTTCTGGCAAGGCTGGTAACTTTGAGATGCATTTCCAGTTTCGATCGATGAGCTGACCCAAGCTAAAAACTGCCTTTTGCTTCCTTTTTCTGCAGCGTGTACAACAACAGCATTGGTGACGCTGGAGCAGAAAACTTTGCGAAAGTGCTCCCGGAACTGACCTCTTTAAGAGTGCTGAAGTAAGCAGGGGGGGTGGGCGGGGGGCCTGTGAATTCCCTGCATTGTGCAGAGGGCTGGACTAGATAACTCTTGGGGTCCCTTTCCAGCTCTATGTTTCGATGCAGTGAAGAGCTCACTCCTGTTAAGTCTTGACAGGAAGATCAACCGTGTAAAGAGCCATCCCTAGAACTCCCCGCCACCTGGGGAACGAGACAATGCACGGTGACCAAGCACTGCAGTCAGTTTCGAGGATTAATTTTAGTTCCTCTGGAATACACGTATAGTGAAAGGTTTCCCCTGGCAAATGGAACTTGAATGTCACAAGCAGATGATATATCGCATCAGGTACCCCAGATGGTTTCCTGCCTCTGTGGAGGATTCAAATTGGGAACTGTTCAGGCTGAAACTGTAATGAATTAATCGGGGCTGTGTGCGACCAAGAAGGCATAAGAACTGTGCAACGTCGGCCTCTCTGATAAGCAGAAGAGATTGGATTTATAGCCCCGCCTTCACTCAGAGTCTCAGAGCGGCTTACAAACTCCCTTCCCCTCCCCACAACAGACACCCTGTGAGGGAGGTGGGGCTGAGAGAGCTCTGACAGAAACTGCTCTTTTTCAAGAACAGCTCTTGTCAGAACTACGGCTTGCCCAAGGTCATCCAGCAGCTGCAAGTGGAGCAGTGAGGAACCAAACCTGGTTCTCCCAGATTAGAGTCTGCACACGTAACCACTACACCAAACAGGCAGTATGAAGCCTCTGGATTGGCCAGGCCTGGTATCAATCGCTGGAGACCCCACTTTTCCGCTGTGGTCCTTCCTAGCCTCATCCTCTAGCTCCAGAATGAAGGCTGTGCACTCCGAGGACATTTGACACCAACAGGAGTATTAATTCCTTTCCGGGAGATGAAAGGAGTCTGCATGGCGCTTAGATCCCCGATCTAGGATCTGGGAGACCCGGGTTTGAATCCTCCACTCTGTGGGTGACCAGTGGCACACCCTCAGCCCAACCTGCCTCACAGGGTTGTTGAGAGGATAAAACGAGAAAGGGAGGCCCAGGTATGCTGCCCTGAACTCCCTGGGGAGAAGAGGGCAGTAAAAATGCACCAGGTAGACATCGCACCGCTCATTCCTCAGGTTCCTGCTACAGTACGCCACAATGGCCCGCCTCGCAGGGGATGCCAGGTGGAGTGATAACCCCTGCTCTTCTGGAAGGCTGGCACTGTAACCATCGGTGGTTGGCCGTGTAGGTTGGGCTGCAAAGAACCAGTTTGGTGTGGTGGTTAAGTGCGCGGAGTCTAATCTGGGAGAACCGAGTTTGATTCCCCACTCCTCCACTCGCAGCTGTTGGATGACCTTGGCCAAGCCGTAGTTCTGTCAGAGCTGTTCTTGAAAAAGAGCCGTTTCTGTCAGAGCTCTCTCAGCCCCACCTACCTCCCCAGTTTGGTGTGGTGGTTAAGTGTGCGGACTCTAATCTGGGAGAACCGGGTTTGATTCCCCGCTCCTCCACTTGCACCTGCTGATGTGACCTTGGGTCAGTCACAAGCTCTGGCACAGCTGTCCTTGAAAAAGAGCAGTTTGTGTCAGAGTTCTCTCAGCCCCACCCACCTCACATTGTGTCTGTTGTGGGGAGGGGAAGGGAAAGGAGTTTGTAAACCGCTCTGAGACTCCAAGTGAAGGGCGGGGTATAAATCCAATCTCTTCTTCTCTTCTTCTTATTCTCACAGGGTGTCTGTTGTGGGGAGGGGAAGGGAAAGGAGTTTGTGAGCTGCTCTGAGACTCCTTTGGTAGTGAAGGGCCATGGGGTATAAATCCAATCTCCTCGACCTCCTCCTCCAAATTAACAGTGGGAACACCTTTTCTTTTTCAGCGTTCAGTGCAACAAGATCACCGCAGCAGGGGCCCAGCGTCTGACCGACAGCCTGAGGAAATGCCCCCACATACAGAGCGTGGCGTAAGTCTGCCAGTCGTGTGGGTCCACACGTGTTTGTGTTGCAAGCCACTTGAATACTTAACACTCAAAGACCCTCAGTTGCGAACTGTCCCCTTTGAACAAAATGTACAGTCCTGGAGCCGACATAAGGAAGCACAAAAGTGTCTAGTTCGCACATGCAATTTAACACTGGATGCTAAAGCCGGTGAAGGTGGATGCATGTGTGAATACACACAAACACCCCAACCCATTTTGGCTCAATGCTTCTTGTTTTCAAACAGCCCCAACCTGTATTCCACCCAAGTCTCTTTTTAACAGTTGCATTATCACGTGTGGGGATTTTTTTCTCTTAACCGTCACACTTATCCATGGAGGTCCTCTTAGGCAGAGAATCCTTTCCCTGGTCCTTGGAAAGGAGAGTAAGGAAGCTGACCGGAAATACCCCATCGATCACATGCCCTGTGCAGTGTCATTTGGTCGGCTTTATCCCTCACGTGTTTCAGAATTTGTCGCCTGCCTTGAATCCTCCTTAGGAGAAAGGCAGGTTTGGCAAAAGCCGTGAGTCAGTCATTGCCGCGTGGCAGTTTCTCTGAGGCTATCCTGGTAGTGTCTGAAGGGAAGAGGTCGTGTGGGTGGGCCGCCTCACCCTGCTGAACGAAGACCCCGGGTCCCCCAAAGCCCTCGGCTGTCTCCCATTTCAGCAAGCTTCGGGGATTGTTGCAGGAGACTTGGATTGTGGAGTTGGGACTCAGAGCCTTAATTCTTCTCTGTTCTGCAAACTGCTTTTCTAGGCTGTGGAACCCCAAGATCCCCCACGGAATTCTCAAGCACCTTCGGCAGCTGGATTCTCGAATCAGATCGCTCTAGGGCCAGGTAAGCCAGGTGATGAGGTTGGCCAAGGCTCCCTCTCAGCTGTGGAGTCTTGTGAGCAAAGATACTACTTTGTGAGCTACCGGCATTAAAGTTCTGAGAGAGCGATTGGGCTGCTGCATAAAATTAGTTTGCCCTTCCTGAGCCAAGACAAGAAATGTGTGAGCTGGAGGCTAAAAAACTGTGAGCTGGCTCACATTAACTCAGCTTAGAGGGAACACTAGGTTGGGCCCACATCAAGGACGCTCTTGCCTTTGGTATGAAGCCCTGCTGTCGGTGGCTCCAGCAGGGAGATGCTGAATTCCTGTCCCGTCCTACTATTTGTCAGGGAATACTGGCGGAGTCGGTACGTGGGGACCCGCGCACAGCAGCGTTTCTCTTTTCAAAACTGCAGCCCCACATCCTCTGGGGGGCAGAACCCTAAGGAGGGACGGGGGAAGGAGCCTGATATATTTTATCACACCCCTGATAAGCCACCACCTTCCTCAGTTCGGCATAACATATAGTGTTTCATCTGAACTAGGAGGTGTGCAAAACAAAAAAAAAAGCCGGTATTTTTCGGCTTTGGGTAAATCAGACCCAGAAAATATCGGTAAATGCCGAATTTCCCCAGTAAAATACCAGTAAGCAGGGGTCATTTAGTAGAAAAAGAGGTGCAGGAGCTCATTAGCATGACTCATTAGCATGACTCAGCCCGACATCACCGGAAGTGTATCACAAGGCAACACCCACCGCTCAGGCTCCACTGGACTGTTTTGGATTGCTAGCTATTGGGGGGGGGGGGGAACCTGAGTTCCTTACTGCCCGAGCTCTGCTCCTGTGCGCTCCTGCAGGAAATGACCCCTGCCAGTAAGGTATTCAGGTTGGGGCTATATTGGGTATTCCCAAATATATTTGGGTCCAGTTACACCACCGGAGGGAAAGGAGGCCTGTTAAAATGCCTCCTTTCCCTCTGGTAGCCTCTAGAGATTTCCCTGTCAATTTCACTGCTGGCCAGTCAGCTGGGCGTGAAATTGACTAGGGAAAGCCTCTGCTCCCTAACTTCCCTTCTCTGTCACTGGAGAAGGGCAGGCAGGGAACCTAGGCGTGTTTAAAATGCCGACAAGGTATATTTTCGGGTGTTTTTTCCAGTTCGGCTGTAGCCGAATCCACACCCCTAGTTTGAACCTCCAGCACAGGAGGAGGGGCCGGGACCCACAGTGATATCTGGAATCGGAGGAAGTGGTTTGCTGACCTCTGATCAATTCGGGGGACAAATTCCAAGGGGACGGGCTGTAACAGGAAACCTGCTGTTAGGAGCGGAGGCGGCTTTTTGATCCAGAAAGGACGTCGCCATCTGCTACTCTCCCCCCTGGCTGACTGACAGTGAGAAAACCCCTTCCGTTTGGGACACTCGGAGCATTGCAGGGAACTCTGGGAAGGAAGCTGTTTTAAAAAACACGGGTGTTTTTTATTATGAAATGTGTAAATATTTATGGACTTCCTTATGTGTTTATGGAAAATGGGGAAAATAAATAAAATTAAAAAAACAAAAAAAAAAACACGGGTGTTTTTGACTTGGCAGGCATCCGTCCCGGGCGGACAAGGAACTGACATTGCCTGTGGTGCTTCCTCCACAAGAGAACGAGCTCTCCTCCATTCTGCTGCTTCCCCAAGGACCCCCGCCTGGGCAGCAAGTCCAGGCCACCCGGCGTCCTTTTAAAAACACTCTTTGGAATCAACTGAGGGAGCTCATTCTGTTCCTGACAAAGAATGGAAGTTGGAGTTCTCACAGAGCACCAAGCTGGTGGGGGAGATTTCCTCGTTAACCGCTGCTCTTTTCCTGCCATCCCATCGTCTTCACGGTCCTGGCGGCCCGATGTTTTGCCCCAGTTCATGAACTCTTTCTAAAATCTTATCTGTTCTTAGGGGGATTCTCCTACCTGCGGCCTTATTTCTACCGACAGACAAAAATGAAATCCTGACATCTACTGCTGCACTTCTCAGTCAGGTGCATTCAGGGATGCAACTCAATAATTCCTTCAACTGATCTGAGAAGTAACAAGTGGTCTAAAACACAGAATTTCACCCTAAGTGTGGCGGGAGTCTGGCCTGCCCAGTACAGTACGGTGAGAATTAACCAACGGTGTACTTAGCTGTCCTTAATATGTCGGGAACCCACTCTGGATCTCACCCATCTGGGATCAGAGCTACTGTACAGTTTGTTAAAAAAAAAACCTGAGAAAAGTACATTTTTTTTTTAATGGCCTCTTTTAAAAACATTTTAAACCGATCACTGCAGACGGCTGTTGTATTTAAGAGGCGTCTTTAACATTGGGAAGGATCAAAGGAAGCAGACCGACTTTAATTTTGGTTTCCTCATACTTTGCGCTCTCTAAATCCATCTCTGGTGAGTTCCGAACGGTTGGCGGAGGGTAGCGTTTTGCAGCTGGCCACGGTATGGTGGGGAAAAACATGACAAGTGCAGCCGCTGTCGTTTGGCATTCACTGTATTCATTAAACGCAAAGCATTTTAATTGCAGGTAGCTCAAATATGGACGCTCAGCGGTGGCCTTCGGCAGCGGCCCGACATTAACCCCACACTTTGTGTATAAATCCATATACAAAACTCCCCATCCTCTCTGACCTGCATACTTGCCTGAGGCTGGCTCTCGGCATATTGCTTTTTTAAAAAAACAGAACGGCAATGCGACATTTTCCAAAATAACAGCATGATCATCCAAGAGGACTCCTTCCCTTTTCCAAAAACTACAAAAATACTTACAAACCCATTCTTTTTTCTCCCCTGCTAACACTGCTTGGCAGATACAATCATACTGCGTGACTCTTCTTTGAAAAGGCGAACATGAGGGTGAAGAAATGAATTCCTGAAGCGTCGGTGGGGATCAGAGAGTGTTTCCAAAAAGTGCGTCTGATCAGCGGCAGCAAACGGATGTGGGACGATGTGGGTCACAGGGACAGCAGATTCCAAACCTTCGGGAATACAGCAGGGTTCCCAAGGGCCAGGAAACACCTCCGGCTGCCTGGGGGCGGGGAACACTGGCTCCCAACCGTTCCCACCTCTAACATTCCCTGCAAAAGGAAAGCTGTTTATCTAAAAGGAGGCAGAACCTCAACAGAAGAGGGGAAAGGCTTCTAGCTTTTTTGAAGTGAAAGTTTTCCAATTGCAAGGAATGTGTAGGGGAGGGGTTCAAAACAGCCACCTTCAAAACAGCCCGCCATAACAGTTCCCCAAGTGGTACACTTAACACAGTGCCAGAGGGACTCCCTTGAAATGTTGCGGAAGATTCTGGGGATGTTCCTAACCCTGGCATCCCCCGTTTGCTTTGCCCAGGACCCCTGAAACTGCTGCCGCCCGGCCACCCCAGACTCCCCCACAAAAAGAACCTTTCTGGATACTGGAATCAGCTCTCTCTGTTCATTCCCTGGGAGGTGCAAAGTCCGAGCGAGGAGCTTCTAGCGATGCGTCATGATGCAAGGGGGCTCGGGCGGCTGGAAACCCTCCCCCGGCCTCCACGCAATCCTGATGCTGCGCGCCACTGACTCCGGCAGAACCGTGTCCAAACCCCGACGATGAGGACGATAGCCATCGCGAAGGCAACCGCCTGGGTCCGGCTGACCCGCGTCAACCAAGTCCCCCCGAAGCATCTTCCTTCACGGGGATGCGCGTTCAAGGCCACACCGTTAAGTCACATCTCGGAGGGGACCCGGAAGGTCCGGGCTCATTTCCCAAATGTGCAGCAAACTCTGAGCGGGAGAGAAAAGGGAGAGGGGCACAGTTATCACAAGAGTCCTGGGCGGGGCACGACAGCCTCCGTTTTCAGCACTGGGTTGGGACAGAGATCGCCCAGCTAGGAAGTAACACAAGGGTGCCCCCCCCCCCAGGAGAGAGATGCTGAGTGTCACCCCACACATGGAGCTGCCTCATACTAAATCAGACCCTCCCCCCTTTGCTCCCTCAAGGTCGGCATTGTCTGCTCAGACTGGCAGCAGCTCTCTCCAGGGTCTCAGGCGGATGTCTTTCCCATCACCTCCTGCCTGGTCCTTTTTAACTGGAGATGCTGCCGGGGATTGAACCTGGGACCTTCTGCATGCCAAGCAGAGGCTCTTCCACTGAGCCACAGCCCCTCTTTGCAGCTCTCCGGGGTCTCAAGTGGAGGTCTTTCCCATCACCTCCTGCTTGGTCCTTTTTAACTGGAGATGCGGGGGACTGAACCTGGGACCTTCTACATGCCAAGCAGAGTCTCCGCCACTGAGCCACAGCCCCTCAGAATGCAAATTCACACACGAACCCGCTCTGAACGAGAACTTCCATTCATTTAAGACTCCTGCAGGCCATGGCCCCTCTTCACAGCTCTCCAGGGTCTCAGGCAGAAGTCTTTCATATCACCTACTGCCTGGTCCCTTTTTAACTGGAGACGTTGGGGATTGAACCCGGGACCTTCTGCATGCCAAGCAGAGTCTCCGCCACTGAGCCACAGCCCCTCAGAATGCAAATTCACACATGAACCCGCTCTGAACGAGAACTTCCATTCATTTAAGACTCCTGCAGGACAACTTCCCAAGACTTTAGGCTCAAGTTAAGAGGGTAGGGATTAGACTGGGAACAGAGAAAATCAGGTCCCCTGAAGCTCACTTTCCAAAGCAAACATCTCGCACAGCCTGAGATGAGAATCAAGCAGATGCAGAGAACAGCTAGGCAGGCCACCACCCGTCCCTTTAAGGAGATCATTTCACGACGCTGGCTTGGAGCACTCGATTTGTTTCCTGTGCTGGAAGCTGACAACCCTCTACCCTGGCAGACAGTGGTCTTTTGAAGCCCTGCCTTGGTACATCGGGCCTCACAACAGCCGCTGGCAGCAAGAGATCCCGTTGGCACCACTTGTGCAAGGTCAGTGGTGTCGTGTTTCTGCTCAGGGCTCAAAAATGTACTTCGCAGCTCTTGCCAATAAGAATCGGGAACTCACGTAGGGGGGCATGAGATGGCAACCCAAATGTATCCCTGCCCACAGTACAGCAAAGTGCCAGGAGGCAACATCCAGGGAAGGCCTCGGCCACTCTGCCGTGTTGTTGGCCTTGCAGGGCACCTGGTTGGCCACTGTGTGAGACAGGAGGCTGGACTAGAGGGATCTTCACTGGCCTGATCCACCGGGGCTCTTCTGAGGTTCTTATCAGGGAGCTTATCACGGAGCCTTGGCCTCTCTGCCCTGTTGTTGGCCTTGCAGGGCACCTGGTTGGCCACTGTGTGAGACAGGAGGCTGGACTAGAGGGATCTTCACTGGCCTGATCCACCGGGGCTCTTCTGAGGTTCTTATCAGGGGAAGGCCTCGGCCTCTCTGCCCTGTTGTTGGCCCTCCAGAGGAACTGGTTGGCCGCTGTGTGAGACGGGATGCTGGACTAGAGGGACCCTCCCTGGTCTGACCCAGCAGGGCTCTTCTGAGGTTCTTATCAGGGGAAGGCCTCGGCCTCTCTGCCCTGTTGTTGGCCCTCCAGAGGAACTGGTTGGCCGCTGTGTGAGACGGGATGCTGGACTAGAGGGACCCTCCCTGGTCTGACCCAGCAGGGCTCTTCTGAGGTTCTTATCAGGGGAAGGCCTCGGCCTCCATGCCTTGTTGCTGGCCCTCCAGAGGAACTGGTTGGCCACTGTGTGAGGCAGGACGCTGGAACAGAGGGCCCCTCACTGGTCCGACCCAGCAAGGCTCTTCTGAGGTTCTCATGGAAGAACAATGGGAAACTGAAACGAGGCCTGGCTTCCACAACCAGCAGAGGATCGGGAAGACAGGCAAGATGAGTGCCTGACTTCCTTCCACAATCCCTTACTCAAAATCCTGTTTGGGAAAAATCAGAAGCTAGGCACTCGTAGCGGGAAAGCGGCAGGCCGGCGTTCTGTGGCTCCCCCGCAACCACACAGGCACAAAGCCGGTAAGCAGTCCCCGCAGCGTCACAAATCGAAGGCCTTCTGGAGCCGATGGCTTCTGAATGCTCACTCACCGTTTTACCGTGGCCCTCTGCCATGCCAGCAAACAGGGTTATTCCCTGCAACCGTGATTTAGAGAGCTGAGCCGTGAGCCTCAGTGTTGTGGCACAAGGAGCACTTAAGGCGATCGATGCTGCTTTTTAAAAAGAAAAATCTCACTATGCTGAGAATGGCCCACAAAAGGAACATCCCCCCCCCCCCCCAATGCATTCGTTTGCGGGCTGAGGAAGTTCTGCTAACTGGAATTCTCAGCTGACGGACGGGCTTTTGGGAGAAGAACAGCGATAAGAAATGCAGCGGGCGGGGCAGGGAAGAGGAGAAAATTGGACCGGCCCTTACATAAGAAGGTACCTGTGTGAAAGTGGGGCTGTCGGTGAACATGCTGAATTCCTGGGGCTGCTAATGAACCCTAGGGCGCCCTGGCTCAAAACAAGGCCTCCCCCGCCGCCTTTATCATGGCTTGCTGACACAACGGCTTGGGCTTTGCTTTGCTATTTCTCCCAGTGCAATTCTCTACAGAGTTGCGCCCCGCAAAGTCCACTGAAGTCAATGGGCGTAGAAGGGCGTGATCCTGCTTAGGACTGCACTGCCAGCGTGCAAAAATGGCAACAGAGGCCTACCTTGTCAGTTTGGCGTAGACATACAGGAGAGTCAACGACTATAAGGAGAAATAAAAAACAAACCCTGCCAGCGCCAGGTCAGCTGCTGCCCACCAGGAAGCAGCACGGATACATTGGTATGGTTTCAAGCCTTCTGCTTGCATGCGGCAACCAACCCCCCCCCCAGTTCCGCTGCCCATCTGAGCCAGCTGGGTTGCCGCCCAGGCCCCCCCCCCTCACCACCTCTCTTGGCAGGCCATCTGGTGGAATTACAGTCAGAAATGCAATATTAATTTCAATCTGGGGGTAAATACACAGTATTCCAGATTTTCCTGGTGTGCCTGATGGGATCAACAGAAACCCCTCTGGCTATTGTTAGGGCTAATGGTGTAGTTAGTGCGTTGGTCTGGGGAGATCCAGGTTCTAATCTCACCCTGGTCGGCCCTGAATCCGACCAGTCAACTCTTAGTCTAACCTACCTCATGGGGAGATTATAATTGGATAACATCATGCACGACCCCCTCTGCTCTGTGGAAGGAAAAGCAGGACACCAACATGAATGACAATAGGAAAGGTCCCATCTCTTGCTGAAACTTCTTGGGCTGGTGATGGGAAGGAGTAGCTGGGGCTGTTCCTTTGCCACATTTAGAATAAAAAAAAATGCAAAAGTAAAGATCTGCAACAGTAAACAGCTTAGTAAGAGGGACCCAGAGTCGTGTACCACAAAAGATATAATCACAGCCCTGGGGGGTTGCTTACAGCATCGCCTCCCATGTCGTGGGGTCACAGAATCTGCACTAACGTGCCAGCACTGGAGTACTTATTTATTTTTTATTTTTTAAAAAATTTATATCCCGCACTCCCTGAAGGCTCAGGGCGGCTTATTAATAATACTTAACCTTTATGTGGCATTTGCAAAGCCCTCTAACGTACCCTGTCTCCTTACAATAGCCCTGCAAAGCAGACCAGAGCTGTTATCCCCACTTTGCAGAAGGAGAGGCCTGAAAGCGGCTTCATACAAGACTGTTGAGTGGGTCCTGTGGCAGAAGTGACATCTGAAACAGCCTCATGGCTCCTGCCCCTGGCTGCTATTCCACACCCGACATGTTTTTCAAGCATAACCCCCACATTTGTTCCCTTTGCCAAGTCAAGCTGTTTCCCCAATAATAATAATAATAATTTATCTAATGTATATCCTGCCCTATAGCTGCAAGCACCTGGGCACCAGTCAAGTGCACCCCTCTGCAGGACATTCTGCCCTTCCAAGCAGCTACCCTGAGGAGGCAAGGAGGGAGATTGTTTGATCCCTGCTAGATCAGACCAAAAGTCCATCTTAGTCCAGCCTCCTGTCTCACACAGTGGCCAGCCAGTTCCTCTGGAGGGCCAACAGCAGCACAAAGGCCAAGACCTTCAGAAGAACCTCAGAAGAGCCCTGCTGGATCAGACGAGTGAGTGTCCATCCAGTCCAGCATCCCCTCTCACACAGGGGGCCGGCCAGTGGGCAGAGAGGCCGAGGCCTTTCCCCCTATGTCACTTCCTGGCTGTGGGATTCAGGGGATCAGTGTGTCACAACCTGGTGGAGGTTCCCCTCAGCCCCATGGCTCGCAGCCACTGATAGACTCATCCTCCAGGAATCTGCCTAATCCCATTTGAAAGCTGTTTATTCCTGCGGCCATCAGCACATCCTCTGGCAGCACACTCTACATTTCAACCACTCTCTGCGTAAAGTCCTATTTTCTTTTGTCTGTCCTGAACCTACTGCCCATCAACTTCATTGGATGCCCTTGAGCAGTGGTCCCTCCAAGCTGAGTGAGTGTGAGCCAGCCCACAGTTTTTTAGCCTCCCGCTCACACATTTTTGTCTTAGCTGAGGACGGAGGGCTCCAGAGCAGACTAACTTATGCAGGAGACAAATTGCTCGCTCACAGCTTTAATGCCAGTAGCTCACAAAGTAGAATTTTTGCTCACAAGATTCCACGGCTTAGAGGGAACATTGCTGAGTTCTAGTATTTCGGGAGGGGGAGAACAATTTCTCTGAGTCAACTCTCTCCACCCCATACATAATTTGATCAACCTCTATCACATCCCCCCCCCTCGTCTCTCTTCAAAATTGAAAAGCCCCAGACCCTTCAGCCTTTCGTCCTAGGGAAGGTGCTCCAAAACCCCCGAATCATCTTGGTTTCCCTTCTTCGAACTTCCTCATTCCTTTCCTCCATTTATCCACACAACACCCCTACGAGGTAGGTGAGAGCTGAGGGCATGCGACTGTCCCAACACAAAGTCTGAGTCTGGTGGCACCTTTAAGACCAACAAAAGTTTTATTCCTGGTGTCAGCTTTCGTGTGCACGCAACACTTCTCCAGACACAAGAAGCGTGCAAGCACATGAAAGCTTATACCCGGAATAAATCTCAGACTTTACCTCGCTGCTTCAGACCAGTGTTCCCTCTAAGCTGTGTTACTGTGAGCCAGCTCACAGTTTTTTAGCTCCCGGCTCACACATTTTCGTCTTAGCTCAGGAAGGATGGCTCCAGAGCAAACTGATTTATGCAGCAGCCCAATGCCTCGCTCACACCGTAGCCCACGAGACTCCACAACTTAGAGGGAGCATTGCTTGTGACTGGCCCAAGGTCAGGCCAGCAGCTGCATGGGGGGGGGGGGAGTGGGGAACCAAACCCAGTTCTCCCAGATTAGAGTCCGCGCTCCCCAGCCCCCTCCAAGTCTGTTCCACTGCCGCGGCATGAGCAAAGGGAATGCGATCCACATACAAGAAGCTGAATGACATCAGACCCACACGGCCTGCCCCACCTGCTTCCAGCTGCCCCAGGGTCACTCGTCCTAGCAAAAAGGCGGCGGGTTAGAACCCGGGTCTCCCCCAGACCCCGCAGCGCCGCTCCTCCTCTTTTATCCTGGTGGGGGACAAGAAGGGCCAGCTCTCCGTGGTCTCTCTTTCGCTGCAATGCAGGCTCATCAGCATCCCCCCCCCCGTCCCTCCTTTTTCCTGGAAGAGGGGAGGGGGGCCGCCGCAGAAAAGGCCAGGTTGAGGGGAGGTGTTCAGTCCCAGGTAGCCGTCCAGGAGGGGCAGGATAACGTCGTTATTTAGCCCCACTTGCATCCCCCTGCCCCAAGGTCACTCGTCGTGGCAAAAAGGCGGCGGATTCGAACCCGGGTCTCCCCTAGACCCCGCAGCGCCGCTCCTCCTCTTTGATCCAGGGCAAGGACCCTCTGTCGGTGGTGGTGGAAGAAGGCCCGGCCCTCCGTGGCCTCTCGCTCGCTCGCTCCAATGCAGGCTCATCAGCATCCCCACCCCGCACTCCTTCTGGCTTCCTTTTTGCAGAAGGGGGGGGCCGCCGCAGGAGAGGCCCCGCCGTCAGTCCCAGTAGCCGTCCAGGAGGGGCTCGGCGGCGGCGGCGTCCGTGTCGGAGGGGGTGTGTGGGGCGGCGGGGGCGGCCAGGGCCGGGTCGGAGAGGACGCCCAGCTCGACCAGCGCCTGGTCCAGGTCGTCGGGCAGGAAGACGATGCCCACGTTGAGGGCGATGTACTCCAGCAGGAAGGCGTAGTAGAGCAGCAGCACGTTGGCCACGAAGAGGCCGGCGTGGAACATCGGGGGCAGCGTCACCGGCCAGGCCGAGGACGACCCCGCCGCCAACGGGCCCGCCCGCCCACCGACCGACCGGCGGCCGGCTCGAGCGGGGGAAGACCGAGCCGCGGCATCGTCGCCCCCCGCAGGCTCCGGACTCCCCACCCCGGCGGGCGGGACGTGGAACGGGACGGCGCGGCTCCCACGACGGCGAGGAGGAGGGCCGCTCCCCCGGCCTCGCAACCGCCGTCGCCCCTGGCAACCGAGGACGCAGCCCGGGAGGGAGGCGCCTGCGCGCCTGCGCGCGGTGGCCGGAGAGGCGCCGCGAGACGGGGACCCCGCCCTTTCCGCCCTTCACCGGAAGCGGCCGCCGTGGGCTGGGCTTCTCTGGAGCGGCCGACCCCCCACCCGACTGGGGATGGGGTTGCCTAGGCGACGGGTGGGCCTGGGCGGTGGGGCTGCACTTATTTTTTTTCGTTTGTTTTGTTTTTAAAACAAGTTCTTTATCATTTTATTTGAAATTGAGTGCAAGCAATTGAATATCAGCAACTAAACAACGTACAGATTAATAAATACAATAATAAAAATACAATAATAAATACAATACTACAACAACAATAAATAAATAAGACAAATAGGATGGCATGAACTTCAGAATGGGAAGGGTTAATAGTGCAGAAAACTGTGTCCTGTGTGCTAACCCTAACTCATGCACCTGCCCCCCAGGCTTCAAAGGAGATAATTAAGATTCTGTTAACTTCCCACAATTAGGGGGGGGGGGGACACTTTTAGACATTTATCTGCTATGTTTGCTTTGCTAGTTATTTAGTTTTTTCCACTTTGCATAACTTGAACATCATCCTGTTACATGTTAATTTGCTGTTACGTTCGGGTCTCTTAAGTTTGGAACCTTATCTGCCATTCCAGTGCATCTGAAGAAGGGTGCATGCATTGCACACAAAAGGGCATGCCTTTAATAAACCTTTCTTGGTCTTGTAGGACAAGAGGACCAAGTGGATGTGATTTCTGAATGTGATTTTTTATATTCTCTTCCTTATAGATATTGAGAGCTGTCACTGTCACTTTATAAGAGTCTAATCATAGTATATTCAGATTTTGGTACTTAGCCCAGATGGAAGAAAGCCGTAGTAGAATATATATATATATTATAAATGCATTCTCCTGTATAAGAAGTTATATTAAGCAGAAAGTATTATTCGAGGCCTCTGCAGATGTAATTAGAAGGCAATAGAATGGAATATTCATCTGGAAGTTGCAAGGACAGCGAAAGTTAGAAGATGAGCTTTTCGAAACAATAATTTCTTTTGTTTAGCATGGCAGGTGGCCTACGGAAGCCTGCCAAGACCCAAGTTTAGTGGGCTCCTTTTGTAGCAGGAACTCCTTTGCATATTAGGCAACACACCCCTAATGTAGCCAATCCTCCAAGAGCTTACAGTAGCCCCTGTCAGAAGAGCTCCGTCAGGTCTCGGAGGATTGGCTACATTAGGGGTGTGTCGCCTACTATGCAAAGGAGTTCCTGCTACAAAAACAGCAGCAAAATTGGCCTGCTATGCAAAGGAGTTCCTGCTACAAAAACAGCAGCAATATCAGCCAACTCCCCAAAGCGAGGCGGAGGGAAGCTAGCCTTGCTGGGGCCAGAAAGGATCCCAGTGTTCCTTAGTGTTTTCCTATATATTTTTTTTAAACCCCTGGAGGGGTATTTTTATTTTTTCAATAGGACTACAAACTACAAAGAATATATAGGAAGGGGAACTACAACTATGGATAAAGGAAAGATACCCACACTAACTAAAAACCCAAGAGTGGGAGACCCCCTTTATGTTAAACTTAATATTAGTATTAAAAGAGTTAGTAAAACAATATACTTGTAGAGTTCTTGTTTTCCACATTGTTCTGTATTAGTAAATTATTTATTGTGTTTTCCATTGTTCTGAGGACCAGATAAGCTCACGTAAGCTAACGTAATGACTGACACCCCTGAGCAGCAGAAAAGAACGCCAATGGGGAGACGTCGCGTCAAATGATGCTCTAGTGATGCCCCCTGCCTGGTGCCAGTTAGGAATTCTGTAAAATGTCAATTATAAGTGATGTCATATGAGGTATAAGACCTTCTGCCCTTCCAGGGTATGGCAGGATACAGCTTGGTGTCGCTGGGGGCCAAAAGGTACTCAGCCCTGTATCTCCTGTTATTGCCAAAAAGGTAAAGGTTCCCTTGCTCGAAAGCCAGTCGAATCCGACTCTAGGGTTGCGGTGCTCATCTCCGTTTCAAAGCCGAAGAGCCAGCGCTGTCCTAAGACGTTTCCGTGGTCATGTGGCTGGCATGACTAAACACCAAGACGCACGGAACGCTGTTATTGCTGTAAACAGATATTTATCCACTCCCTGGACTCCAACCATGCGTTCCTTATTCGGCCCCGGGGAGCACACGGGGACACAGGATTTGTGCATCGGTCTTAAAGGTGCCTGGCTGGACTCTAAGTTTGTTATACTCTCTCTTTCTCTCCCCCCCCACCCCACAGACACACATCAGGATGTGAAACATCAGGATATGGTATTTGAAAAAGTGTGCATGCACATGAATGCTCATACCCAGAATTAAACTCTGTTGGTCTTAAAGGTGCCGCTGGATTCTAAATCTGTCCTGCTGCTTCAGACCAAGGCGGCTGACCACCTGGAATGTGGTCACTCCCACAAACACACATCAGGATCTCTTTTTAGAAATCGGCAATTGAGTATTGTTACATTGATAGAACATTATAACAATCTGTGTGTTCCCTGAACACACTGAATTCAGGTTGGCTGCATGCCCGGCTTTTGTTTCTTGTTTCAATAGCAGGCCTCTAGCCCTTTTCGTTCTGGAGGTGCACCGTTCCCCTTTAGGGATGAAATGCTCCCTTGACCCATATAGGACTAAGCAGGGGTCATTTCATAAAAGAAGAGGTGCAGGAGCTCATTAGCATAACTCATTTGCATATGCCATGCCCCCTGACATCACCGGAGGTGTGTCAGAAGGCAACACCCACTGCTCAGGCTCCACTGGACTCTTTTGGATTGCTAGCTATTGGGGGGGGGGCATGCAGATCTGTCCTCGCAGAGGAGGGAGAGCTTATACCTGAATAAAACCTGGTCTTAAAGTGCCACTGGACTGTTTTGGACCTGGGGGCCGGGGGGGGGGGCACCTCTGCAACTTACCTGGCTGCTTCTTGCTCTGACTGAGGGCTGCTAGGAGCAGGGGGCGGGGCTTGTTGCATGTGCCCACCCCCTGGGCTCTTTACTGCCGGAGCTCCGCTCCTGTGCGCTCCTGCAGGAAATGACCCTGGGACTAAGACAGTGGTTTCCAGGCCTTCTGCACCTGAGGGCACCTTTTGAATTCTGACATGGGGAGCATTGGATGCAACCACCAAATGGCCACGTGGGAGGCAGAGCCGACTACACACACAGAGGAAGCCCAAGCGTGGGTGATAAGAGGAGTGTAATATACCCAGTTCAGACCGCGTGGCCAGCTTGGGCTCCATGCGGTCAAGAGAAAACGTCGAGCTTCGCTCAAAGATACAATGGACTATGCGGATCCTAGCCCGCGCCAATCAGGGGTAGGTTCCCGGCCGAGAGCCTATGGAACTCTCGGCTACTGTAAATAGCCTATTGGGAAGTGGGGGGGTGTTATGGGTGGCGGTTTCACGGGGAATATAAGCTGGTCTGCGAGCCGGCTTAAGTTGTCTTGTTCTACACCTAATAAAGTACGTTAGCTGAAATCACTCTCCGTCTGCGTACTTTTCAAGTAAATTTTAAAAATACACTGGAAAGGGGGCGTCAGAGAGAACTACACTGTAGTGGCGGCTGAAAAGAGTCGCATCCTTAAAGACTAACAATATCTGTGGCACAGCTACCCACCTTGATCTGTAGTGGCTGCTGAAGAACAAAGTTAGAGTCTAGCAGCACCTTTAAGACCAACAAAGTTTTATTCAAGGTGTGAGCTTTCGTGGGCACACAGACTTCGTTGAATGATGAAATGGAATTACATATCATAGTCAATGTTCCCTCTAAGCTGTGGAGTCTTGTGAGCAAAAATTCTGCTTTGTGAGCTCTTGGCACTGAAGTTGTGAGCGAGCGATTTGGCTGCTGCATCAATTAGTTTGCTCTGGAGCCCTCCTTCCTGAGCGGAGACAAAAATCTCTGAGCCGGAGGCTAAAAAACTGTGAGCTGGCTCACACTGACCCAACTTAGAGGGAACACAATAGTTGTATGTACAGGGGTGGCTTATTAAATTAGAATGCAAAATAGTGAATTTTTTTTAACAGATCAAAAGAATGACAAGCTCGGTTTCTGGTTTGGGTTCAACTGGGGGGGGGGATGGACAACATAGGTAATAAATATGTCAGAAGTGAAAATTGATGTGCTCTAAATTGTGAGCTGTGACTGAAATGGTTATTTTAGTCTGCACAGCTAATCAAATCTCCAATGGTCAACCAGAAGCCCTACTTGGCGGGCACCAGGAATAGTGTTGCAGGCAGGGGTCATTTCAGCTAGAAGGTCAGCTAGACACAAGAGTGTGTGAAAAAGAACTAGCAACTTCTCTGAAGGCAATGGGGTGGCCTGCTTCTGAAGTGGTACAGGTTTTGCATTGTGCAGAGTGAGCATTGCAGCAGAGATAATGTGAGGCCTCCCTTGTTCCTTTTAAAATTTGGTGGGGAACCATGAGCAGCACCCTTGAACGATGTTTGCTTTTACTAGCTCTCAACTTTGTTCTAAATAGTGCTACAAGTGCTTTTGCACTGCTTGTTCTTGCATTGCTGTCTCACAGCTATCCCTCTGCCCCTGACCCGTCTCCCGTCTGTCCAAGCCACCTGACAGAAAGCAATACTAACTTACCAAAGAGGGATTGTCTTTGGTTGGCTTGATCCTGCTGGGGTGGAGTGGAGGGAAGCTGCTTGACTTGTGGTATACATAATGATAATGACTCAGCCCTACCCCACCTTCCTGAGTAGAGATAAATTACCTGCCTCCCATTTTTCTTCTCACCTTGACACAGAGAGTACTCCATCTTTCTGTGTTATACCTCTGAGGATGCCAGTCACAGCTACTGGTGAAAGGTCGGGTCCTACAATGCCAAGAGTCCAGTGTTCCCTCTAAGCTGAATTAGTGTGAGCAAGCCCACAGTTTTTTAGCCTCCGGCTCACACATTTCTGTCTTAGCTCAGGAAGGATGGCGCCAGAGCAAACTAATTTATGCAGTAGCTAAATTGCTCACTCATAACTTTAATGCAGTAGCTCACAAAGCAGAATTTTTCCTCACAAGACTCCACAGCTTAGAGGGAACATTGGCATACAGCCCGGAAAATCTACAACAGCTAATAATAATAATAATAATAATAAATCAAATAATAAATAAAAACAATAGTATAGTAGAAAAGAGCAAGAGTCCAGGAGCACCTCAAAGGCTAACAAAATATGCGGCAGGGGGAGGAGCTTTCGTGAGTCACGGCTCACGTCTTCAGATACAGCGAGCACGGGAGGCCATCTGTCCTATTTATTGGAAAGTGGAGTGATTTCAGTTGCTGAATGACATTGGCCCCGGTCACACGGCAAAGTTGCCGCGGGAGAGGCATGGGAGTCCCGTGGATTTTCCAGGCGCGATCTCACCCCAACATCTGGGAAGCGCAGTGCTCCCGTGGCGAACACATGGCTCCCTGCCAAAGGTGCCGAGTTAAAAACTAGTACCTACAAAGTACTAGTTTCCTGAAACCGTGAGCCAAGGGCGGGCATCTGATCGGCATTCGGCGCCCGCCGCTGTTTGTCTCCGCAGGTTGCGCAACAGTGTCCAACAGCGCATGTGCACAAATAGCGATTGCTAGTGTGATCGCGCGGCGTGGCTTCTGTGCCGCGCTGCAGGATACCTGTCTGATCAGCATTTCCCCCGAACCACGGGACCTCGACCGGGATGCGTGCTCGGGCGGCCGCGCGTTACTTTCCTCCGGGGCAATTAGCCACGCCTCCCCCCCCATATCCGGCCCATGTAACCGGGGCCATAAGCAGGCAAATAACAACAGCCCTATGGGGGAGGGCGGGGTATAAATTTGATAAATAAATAAACAGCAGGTGAATGACAATAGCAAGCATGATTGGATTTTGGTGAGCTATGGAGAGGGGTAGTAGGCGTTAAACCAAATAGGCATCAAATGAAAGCTCCTCCCCTTCCCCAAACTTCGTTCCTGCTCCTGGACTCTGGCTCTTTTCTACTGCTACAGACAGACTAAGAGAGCCAGTTTGGTGTGGTGGTTGAGTGCGCGGAGTCGCGGACTCTAATCTGGGAGAACCGGGTTTGATTCCCCACTCCTCCACTTGCAGCTGCTGGATGACCTTGGGCAAGCTGTAGTTCTGATAAGAGCTGTTCTGTTGTGGGGAGGGGAAGGGAAAGGAGTTTGGAAGCCGCTCTGAGACACCTTTGGGTAGTGAAGGGCAGGGGTATGAATCCAATCTCTTCTCTTCTTCTTAGAGGGCTGCCCACCTTGAATAATAAATATAACAATGATAATAAATAATAAAGATAACAATGGTGATGGACTCCAATTTCATTCTCACATCTCTTTGTGAACTCTTGCATTTGCGTGCTAATTTGTTGCCACCCATTGATCCCACTGGCCACCCATTCCAATTCCAGCTCTACTTGTGCATCTGACCTCCGAAGTGGTCTCTCGTGACGGCATACCCCTACCCTCCTTTTCCCTGTGAACAAAAGTTTTGAGGCTTCATTCCAGCTTTGTCCGAAGAAGTGCGCTTTGCACACGACAGCTTACACCTTGAACAAAACTCTGTTGGTCTCAAAGGTCCCTGAATGGACTCAAACTTTGTTCTGGTGATGACTACCAACACTCCCTCTAAACTGTGGAATCTTGCAAGCAAAAATTCTACTTTGTGAGCTACCTGCATTAAAGTTGTGAGCAGGCAGGTGATTTGGCCGCTGCATAAATCAGTTTGTTCTGGAGCCGTCCTTCCTGAGCTAAGATGAAAACGTGTGAGTCCGAGGCTAAAAAACTGTGAGCTCGCTCACACCAACTCAGCTCAGAGGGAACACTGCAGTCCTCCCTCTAAGCTGTGGAGTCTCGTGAGTAAAAATTCTACTTTGTGAGCGACCCGCAAAAATGTGTGAGCCGGAGACTAAAAAACTGTGAGCTGGCTCACACTAACTCAGCTCAGAGGGAACACTGCAGTGCTCCCTCTAAGCTGTGGAGTCTTGTGAGCAAAAATTCTGCTTTGTGAGCTCCTGGCATTAAAGTTGTGAGCGAGCGATTCGGCTCCTGCATAAATTAGTTTGCACTGGAGCCCCATCCTTCCGGAGCGAAGACAAAAATGTGTGAGCCGGAGGCTAAAAAACTGTGAGCTAGCTCACACTAACTCAGCTTAGAGGGAACACCGCTTGCAAGCAATGCTCCCTCTGAGCTGTGGAGTCTT